TTGATCTAGCCTAAATCCCCATTGCGTGTGAACTCATCCATTTTACATGGAAGTTCATCTCTCGGATGCAGACACGTGAAGTCTGCCTGTGTGTGCGTGTGTCTGGGTGGACTTGTGGCTTGAGGGGACGTGAGGGATCTAAATGAGCAGACAGAGCTGCTGAAGATTAAAAGTGCAAATGTGAAGCTGGAGACAAACAGACATGTGACGGGGGAGGGATGTTCAGGCTGAGTGCGATCAGGCACAGCTGGCGGACAGCCACACTCATGAGGGGCTGGGAGTCCCTCTCCGGAGCTGGGCCGACCTGAGGCTGGGGTGGCTGTCAGGGCGCATCAGCAGTCACTGCTCCCACGCCCAGCTGGCGCCCAAGGCCCTCTCCCCACCCCCGGCCAGAGCTGAGACCAGAGAGCTGCCAGAGAAGTGGCATCCTGGCCTCAGGGCTAAATCAGACCAAGGGGCAGACTGGCTCCAGGGGGAACCCATTCTTCATTTCCCCTTCTTGAAATGGAGATCAAATTTGAGGTCTTGTTAAAATAGAATGTCATCCAGCAGGCTTCAGATCACAGAAACCCAGCTCTTCACTGGCACATGGCGGCAGCAACAAGAGGGGGAGCTGTCCCCTGTGGGTCCTTCTGTGACCCACACCTCCTTTCCAGGGCACTCAGGGCTTGGGCTTGAGGGAAAAAGAACTATCAATATCCTGATGAGTGGGTACTGCAGGCACAGTCCTTGGAATCAATAGGTTTTCTTGATTCTAAACTGAGGTCAAATAGCAAGTGACAGGGAGCATCTGTTTGGGGAGGGGACTTTGGGGCACTGATCCCAGCACCTATGGCCCTTCCTGCATAGGGCTCCCAGCCCACTGTACACTGGGTCCTGCTGGCATAAATGCAGCTCGGTCCCAGGTCTTCGAAGGCCCCAGTCACACTGCTGCTGGCAAGGAGCACCGTTGAGCTGCGGTGATCTCTACTCAGAACCCCACCCTGCCCAGGCCTGGGGCTTTCAGACCTCCCTGCCTCCGAGGTAGTATAAGAAGGCAGGTCGGCAGCCGAGTCTGGAGGGATCCTCACGTTTGCCATCAGGCATAGGAGGGGGAGAAGAGCAAACATAAGTGCCACACAGCTGCTTGCCTGCCTTGAGATGAGTACCTAGGAGGATGAGCAGATAGGTGAGGGTGGAAGGCGGCAGATAGCGTGATCACGGTAATTTCAGGCTTCAAAATAATAGTCACTCTTAAGGAAATGCCTTCGCTCTTCCAGTCACCTGTGCGAGGCACTGCATATATGTTATATCCAAACCCAAGAACTCTGTAAGTAGGGACCGTTCCTCCCACTTGACAGAGAGGAAACTGAGGTTTGGAGAAACTAGGTAATTTTCCTTCAAACCACGTTGAGTAAGTGGAGGTATATTTTTAATGTAGAAGGTGTTAAAATCCAGGCTGGGGTCAAATTCTGACTCCCTAACCTACCTGCTAGGTGATCCTGGGTAAGAAGTACTTACTGTCTTCACATTTTACTTTCTTTACCCACGGAGTGGAGCTCATGCCCACCCCACTGGGTCTTCGTGAGGCTTATACGGGCTGGATCTTCAGGCACTTGTTACAGTGCCTGGTGCAGAACAGGCTGGCCAGTCGCCGCCCAGGAGGACCAAGAGCCTCTTGCCTTGGGAAAGGGAGTGACTTGTAAATGTTTTCCTCACCTCCAAATACTCTCTCCGCTTACTGGGTCCTCTGAAGAGCCCGCATTTTCAAGGCATTTAGAAAATGAGAACTTTTGCTGAAAAAAGTCATGGAGGAGTAAACATCACCTGGCCTCAGGATACTTCAGGTGGTACTCTCTTCTTTCGGTTTTCCAAGCCAGGAAGGTCTTGTCCTAACAGATCCTCAGCAAAGTGCCTACAATAGCATGTCCTACCCTTTCCTATCATTTCCTCCCAGTATCTAACCTCAATCCTGCCTTGCTGCCCTGTAGAAGAGCCGGTGTCACCTAATCTAGGACAGGTGTTCACCATCCGTGACCTGACACCTCTGCTGTGGCTTCAGGATGGTTATTAAGTTCCATCTCGGTCACATCTCTTTAGGATGGACAATCCCACTGCCCGTGGAACCAACAGACCGCCTTCTCGGAATAAGCCACGATCCTGAGGGTGGTTAGGAGGTGCAGGGGCTCCAGTCATGAGGAGAGGAGCCCCTTCTTCAACACACAGGTAGTTTCTTCCAGGCTTCCTGGGAGCCCTGTATGGTAGCGTGTGTTAGAGGTGACGAGGCTAGGGCGGGTTGGCTCCGCAGCGAGACGGAGACACCAGTGTGTAAACATCTCTCTCCACCTGCGAGAGAAGGGCACTCCTCAGGTGCAGCCAGACCCTCCTCCAAAGCAGAGGGATGGCTGCTCTTGGCAGGCTCTCCGAGGCAAAGATAATAATATAATTTGGCTTTCCCCACTCTTCGGGGAAGAGGTTACATGTATAATAGCCGTTTTCATGAGCCGCGGAGGAGGAGTGCAGCCAAAGAGAGGGAGGAGGGGTCTGAACTTCACATCGGAGGAGACAAGCCTGCTGGTTACGTACACAGGCAGGCTTTTCCATTTTTAAAGCTCCCCTGAATCTCTCCAAACCCAGCAAATTTTGCAGCCTCTAATTTTCTTCTCTGTGCTCTATTTAGCACCAAGCCATCTCCCTCTGCAATTCAGTAGCCTCTTGAAGTGTGTTTGTTCGCATGATGGGACTGAGTGGGCAAGTCCCAGCCTCTCTAATGTGGCCTGTCACTTGCCTGCCACCCAGGGACCATAGGGCACCAACACAGAGTACTCCAGTGAGCCTGATCCCAGAGTGAGACTCTCAGGGCTACTGATTTCCTTCCAGTCCCACAAAGTGACAATTCTCTCTCTTGGTTTCCAAGGGCTATCACACTTGCGAAGACCCATTTGTTTGGGTGTGTTGAAAAAAATCTCTCAGGAAGAGGATTTCCTTTCTTACGTGGTCCAAAAACATCCAGTTCTGATTCCTTAAAGGACGTGTGCTTACCTTTTCCCAGCCGCCTTAAATTTAACTCAGATGACATCAAAGTCAACCCCCTCAATCTCAAGATGGAGCCTAGAAATCTCTTATATTTGTGTAGCATTTTGCAGTTCCTCGTGGCTTTACCTCCAAAACTTCATTCAATCTTCACAGTAATGTTGGAGATAGGTTGGACAGGTATTACTCTAGCTTTTCCAAAAGCAGCAACCAAAGCTCAGAGAGGTTGAGTGTCTTGCCCAAAGTCCACAGCTGCCAGGCAGCAGGGTAAGTAGGACCACAGGCCTTGGGAACTTTGGTCTGGGACACTTGGCATTCACTCTACCGTGCAGGTCCCGCCTCCTACCCTAAAACAGTCAAGTGATGGTACTGAGAAGTGGAAGAGTGGTGGCACTTATTGGACTTTTTGCTTAGGGACTTGGGGTCCAAAGGAGACCCTGTCAGTTTCAGAGTGGACTGAGGGCAACTGTAAGGGAGCAGTGCCTTTCGGGGGTGGGGTGGAAGAGCAAGGTGGGTTAGAGGAATAGATTATGTCTGTATTTGTGAGAGTTCAGGACAGAAACAGATCCCTCCCTGCTCTGGCACTGGAAGCAGAAGACAATTTAAGGGAAGGGGGGGTCACAACATCCTTGCATGGGGCGGAGGAAGGCAGCGGGTGGTGCTTCCAGGACTGACTCCCCTGGACCTTACAGAACTCCCTGCTGCGGAGCCACACCCACCACTCAACCCACTGAATTCAAGACCGTGCGCCACAGCCAGGCCTGAGGAGGCTCACCATGCAGACGCCGCTGCAGCTGTGTCTTGGCACTTCAGAGCTGGAAAACAGAGGCCAAAACACCGCTCCTGAAAAACCTGACGCTTCTAGCGTGTTGCCAGCAGAAAACAGCAAGAGGGGCAGGTGCGGTGTTAGGCGGAACCTAGTTCCTATCTAGAACCGCTGCTTCCCAGAGAGTCTGGGGAAATCTTGTGACCAGTGAAACCAACAGGCGAGCACTCTGAAGATCAGTATTCAGGTCTGGAGTGGATATTCAGAAAGTCTTTATTGGCACAGGAGCAAGCCAGAGCTCACACGGACGCCACGTCTCTCAAGAATTGTCCATGTACTTCATGGTAGAGTTGAGAATCTCCATCCCGTGAAGCTCTCTCAGTACAGCAGCAAACCTGTCATAATCAGAACACAAACTCCAGGACATAAATGCCAGGGTGCAGACACCTGGCCCCCAGAGGCGTCCCCCCTCAGGCAGAAGCCGGCTGGGAAATCAGGACAGGGCAGCAGCTGTTGCCCTGGGGAGCCCTAAAGATCAAAGTGGGGAGACCCTCAGGAGGCCCACAAAACACGGCAACACTCGCCATGTGAGTGGCAGATGTGACAGGGACCTGAGGGACCTGCTCTTGGGAGCTCCCCAGCAGGTTGCCACAGCGAGCCCATCCTAGCTGATGTGCTTTGCTTTCTGTAGAAGAAAGATTTTATCCATTCCTTCCATTTGAACAATCAGACAGAACTCGAAAAGACCGTAGACGTCATCCAGGCCCACCCTCTCGTTCTCCAGAGGAGGGGTGGGAGGGGGAGCCTGTGCGAGAAGGAAGCAGGCAGGCCAGAGGCCCTCCCCACCATGGAAGGCGCCCCCTCCTGTGCCAGGGCACCACGCTCAGCCACAGGTGGGCACCTTCCAGGAACGTGAGGACCAGGCGTTCCAGCGCCTCAGATCGGGGCAGAGCGGGGCGGAAGCCTGGGCTGACAGAGGCAAGATACCCAGATCAAGCGCAGGCTCCTGTCCAAGCTTATTGGGTGGTCTTAATCATGCCGCTCCCCAACCTCGTCTGTTTTCTCCAGCGTAAGAATTTACCCTACAGGACATTCTCCCATACGCTTAGGTCCCAAGCAAAAAAAAAAAAAAAAAAAAAAAAAAAATGAAGTCGGGGAGGTCTGTTTCTGGAGAACAGAGGAGAGAGAAAGGAGACAGAGAGAAGGGGAGATGGTGTGCGAGGGAGGAGGGGTGGAGAGAGGAGTGGCTGGAGGAGACTGCGGGAATGGAGCAGACAGAAGACGACGGCCGTCAGTGCCCGGAAAGATCCCTGTCCCATAACCGGGTTCCCTCTCCGGCTGCAGCCTGAGCTCTCCCCAGTGCCCTGGGGGTGGGGGGCATCCTCCACAGAAGCAGCTGGGCTCCCTGCCGCGCCGTGCACCTGGGCTCGGCCGTGCACAGCTTCCCCAGGGCGATGCCCGCGTTCAGCTGCACGGCCGTCTTCTGAGCATCGCCGCCCGCGAGCTTCAGCAAGACCAGCACGATGTCCGTGGTCAGCAGGGACGAGGCCACGTGTGGCACCTCCATGCAGTTCCCCAGGCAGAGGGTGGCGTTGCCCACCAGAATCTCATCCTCCGAGCCCAGCAGCTGCATCAGGACACCGAGCTCTACAGGGTGGAGAAGAACAAGCAGGAGGCTGGCAGTGGAACATGGGGGGCACAGGGAGGTGGCAGTGGATGGACATGTCACTTACTCGGCAAATCTCTACTGAGTGCTCTGAAGCTCTCTGGCTCCTGGCTGTGTCTCTGAGGGACCTCAGGAGCCCGGCACAGAGCCTGGCAGGACTCAGCTGTCCCGGGAATGCAGGCTATACATCAGACAGGTCTGCTCTCTCTACATCCCCAATCTGAAGCTCTCAGCTCCACCCGACAGCCCCCACCTGAGCGGGAGGCCATGGGCTGGCACCCTGTACCTGCGGGGTCAGGAACAGGTTCTACAGGAAAGGTTCCTGACCCTCACTCAGTGGGGACCCCCGTTCACGCCTGTGCGGCCCAAAGGAGGTGGGAAGGAGAGCGTTAGCAGGACCCCTGCCCCGCATGACAGGGCAGTGACTAGACTAAAGACAGGCTCAGCCTCTCCCATTCTCCTTGGTCACTAAGGTGTTTCCCCTGGGAATGAAGAGGACCCGTGTTAGGTCAGTCTAAGCAGAATGCTTTACAAACAATCCCAGTTTACTTGGAGTGGGGAGGTAGCTCCCAGCTTTGATTCTGTTATCTTTGAGCTGTTTCCCAGCTGAGTCTTCCAGCAAGGATGTGGCACCTGTGTGCGGCCGAATGCTAATTAGGAGCTTTCAGAGCTGGAGGTGAGGTGACGTCATCTTCATACACACTGCCTGAGTCCGGGGAGGGCGTGACGCATCCTCCTCAGTCTTTCCTCCCTCCTCACCGGCAGTTCCCTTTGCAGCTTCACGGCTTGATTAACCTCTGGGTTGATGTGGGCTCCACTTAAAGAAACTATCACTTACTTTTATCCAGTCTTATCAGCTCTTCTCGTGCTTCGTGATAACTATTAGTGCAGATGGCGAGGATCTTTACCGCATAACGTGACGCAGTCTGGCCTCCTGCCTAGATTTCAGAGTGAAATTAGGAAAATAAAATCAAAGCCGTGGTTGCTCTCGGCCAGAAACCACAGTGAGCAGCTGTGATTGTGCTCGTGGCTTCCTAGACTTCTGAGCCAGAGCTCTGCTGACGATAGCGTGTGCTTCCTGGCGAGTGGGCCTGGTCCCTGCTGGGATGCAGTGTCACTCACGTCCTCCCTAACGTGGCCCTCACCCCCGCTATGAATGTAGGCCTGCCATGTACACCTGAGTAATTACCTGTGGAAGGCTTAGGAGTGAGTGGCTGAGAACAGAATGGTGCTGTCTACTGGCAGATGTACCAAAAAGGGAGGAAAAGGCCCTCCCATGTCATTTCACCATTTGAGAATGAGGGTTGACTTGAGAAGGCTGTCAGGCTGACAGGCCTGCATGGAGAACATTACGAACCTAGATCATTTTAAGAGGTGACAACTGTCGAATCATAACCCTTAAAATCACCCTATGTGGGGTCTTTAAAATGCATGTGTGTGTGAAGGCATGCATAATGCACATGTGTGTGCATGCAACCAGCAGGCTCCGGTGGGTGTGCAAGAGTTATACAGAGTGAATGACGGTCATCATCCACGTGGCTGCCTAAACTCACACCCACCACCCTGCCCCTCAATATCGCCCCTGCCCCAGAAGCAGCCCCCCGACAGAGCACGCCTCCTGGTGCCACTCAGCCTGGGTTTTATGAGTAAGTCTCCCGTGGGGTCACCACAGTAACGTGGGGTAGTGAGCCTCACTGGGCACATGCATCGCTGGCGGGACCCAGAGATGCGACCTAGTAACTCACCTCCCCCTTCAGGAGAATCTAGTTAACTCTCGTACTAACTCACGTAGCTTCACTGCACTCATGTTGCGGGGAAAATCTGAACATCCTTTTAAAAGCCACACGGTTACTCTGCAGCCTACATATCTCATAAATGGAGTTATCTCCAACCTTCTCCAGGTAACTGGATAACGCGTCATGAGCAGGAAACCATGAACAAAACCAGGACCTGAGAAACCTTGTTGAAGCCACTCAGAGCATCTTTTTCGAGGACAGAGGCCATACATTTTTAAAGTTAGGTTTAAGTGGTAAGCAGTTTTTATGGATGCATCTAATGAACAATTATTTGTTCAACAATCTTACACTGCTGGTCAGAGCAGAGTCTGGGTGGACAGGCAGAAGGGAATCTCCATTCGAGAAGGTTAGAAGCTAGCAGGGGGGAAATAGAAGAACCTTAACTGAACAAAGCCCTCCTTAGTTCTGTTCCCCAAATAAAATATGACACTCCCGGAAATTCAGGAGGTTGTAACCAAGGAAGTTATTTTACCTTCAGGAATTTAACCATTTTCTTCACCACTCCCGCTCTGAGGGCCTCCTCAACAATCTTCAGAGAGGAAACAAGGGTGCGGCTAAGAACGCCAGCAGCTCTCTGAGTGAAGCAGAAAGAAAGGCTGATTAAACGTTCTTAAGTGGGGAGGGGCAAGAAAGGGGTAGGGGGTTAAGGCCACAAACTACCTTGTATACAATAAATTAGCTACAAGGATATACTGTACAGCATAGGGAATATAGCCAATATTTTATCGTAACTATACATGGAGCATAACCTTTAAAATTTGTGAATCACTGTGTTGTACACCTGAAATATATAATATTGTACACCCACTATACCTCAATAGGAATTTTTTTCTTAAAATGCTGATGACCTTTTAAAGTCAACGAGTAGTTTGGTGAGGCAAAAACAATCATTAGTATTAGATGCAAAATAATACCTTGACTTTAAAAATACAATGGCCAAGGAATTGATAGCAAGTCAAGTACTGTCCTTTATAATAAAGCTGCTGGGTAGGCAATTCTAAGGGCCGCCAACATTGCCCCCGGGTGCACAGAGGCCCAGCTTATTCCAGCTTCACACAGGACCAGCGTTCAACCCTTGGCAAGAAAGTCCTGGCCTGTATCACCCGTGGGGCTCTGATACCTGTTCAGGGCCCTTATTAGATGGTGGACTTCCTGGATGGATCCTCTGGGACTTTTAGCTTTTCCTTTATTTTTTCTAAATCTTTGTCTTTTTATTCTATTTTCTGGGAGACTTCACTGATTTTATTTTCCAGTTCTGATTTTTTTAAAAAAATAGTTCTGTTACTATTTTATGGCCATAACACTATCTTGAATCTTTCTGAAGACATGAGTGATAGTTATTAATTTTTTCTTCTGTTTTCTACTTCATCTCTATTTTTTGAGAGTCAAATGTTCTGCTTACCTTGCTTCGTCTATTTATCTGTATGGCTTTCCTGATATGCCTGGTGAGATCTACCCTTAGCTTTCCAGTCACATTTATGAAAAAAGCAGTATGTTTGGGTACACTATGTTTATGGGAAGTTTATCCACTGACAGGTGGAGAGGTGGCACTCCCAAATACTAGAAAGCAAAACTTTTTCCTCTGGTCTTTCAATTCCTTTAGGAAAAAATGGCTCATTTTATGCCTGAGGAATAGATACCTGGCTGCCAGATACAGTCCCCCAATCTCTTACTTCTGTCCTCTGCTGTAGCTGGCGGTTTGAATTCTCGATCTTTTCCATGGAGCTGCAAGACAGACCCGCTACCCCCCAGCTGGGCTCCCCTCATCTGTCCTCTACACGAAGGCTTCTTTAGCCCTGCCGCATTAATTACCAGTCTGGCAGCTGTTCTCCATCTTCCAGAAACTAGCTAAAATAACTTACCCTTTGGTGACCTCTTGCCTGTTCACTTTGTCAGTGTGGGATTCTGCCTTTTTTCCCCCTAATGTCTTTAGTCTCATTTTAATGAAGTCTCCAGAGCAAGAATGGACAAACCTGTGTATTATCATATCACCTATCTTGTTTCCCTAATCTGCTTCCTACAGGGGCTAGGATGTGACTACAGTTGACAGTACAGCTCTCTTTTCAGGCCCAAGGCAGTAGAGACAGCACGGTATTAAAGGACCGGGTTCCCTGCTAAGGCTACTGCCCTGCTCAACAAGCTGGTGAGCACCCACCTAGCTGTGGCCAAGCAGAGTCCTGGGGACATCTACCCCAGAGTCCTTGAAGGGCCAGTGTGGAACTAGTGCAGGCCCAGCTTTAGACCCACCAGCCAGAAAATCCCAAGTACCCAAGAACAGTGGTGCTTACCACTTTTGGGGTCGTGTATCATTTTTGAGGATCTGATGAAAGCTGTGGTGCTCTCCAGTCCCATGAAAATGCACATACACTCAGAATTTTCTATATAATTGCTGGGGGTTCCAGGGAACCTGAAGACCTACCACATCTTCCTGGAGCCCAGGTTAAACAGCTTTGCCCTGTAAGTCTGGATTGACTTCAGAGAAGCTGTGGGCTTGCTGGCCACAAACAGGATATGCTGGATCTACTTGGAAGGTTTGTACAACCCTGGAACCAGTCCCCCGACAATGACCCTTTTTTTTTTTCAAAAAAGAATTTTTTTAATACAGCAGGTTCTCATTAGTTATCTATTTTATACATATTAGTGTATATACGTCAATCCCAATTTCCCAATTCAGCCCACCACCATCCCCCCTTCACGTCCCCCCTTGGTGTCCATATGTTTGTTCTCTACATCTGTGTCTCAATTTCTGCCTTGCAAACCAGTTCACCTGTACCATTTTTCTAGATTCCACGTATATGCATTAATATACGATATTTGTTTTTCTCTTTCTGACTTACTTCACTGTTTGACAGTCTCTAGATCCATCCACGTCTCTACAAATGACCCAATTTCGTCCCGTTTTACGGCTGAGTAATATTCCACTGTATATATGTACCACATCTCCTTTACCCATTCGTCTGTTGATGGGCATTTAGGTTGCTTCCATGACCTGACTATTGTAAATACTGCTGCAACGAACATTGGGGTGCAAGTGTCTTTTTGAATTATGGTTTTCTCAGGGTATATGCCCAGTAGTGGGGTTGCTGGGTCATATGGTAATTCTATTTTTAGTTTTTTAAGGAACCTCCATACTGTTCTCCATAGTGGCTGTATCAATTTACATTCCCACCAACAGTGCAAGAGGGTCCCCTTTTCTCCACACCCTCTCCAGCATTTGTTGTTTGTAGATTTTCTGATGATGCCCATTCTAACCAGTGTGAGGTGATGCCTCGTAGTTTTGATTTGCATTCCTCTAATAATTAGTGATGTTGAGCAGCTTTTCATGTGCTTCTTGGCCATCTGTATGTCTTCTTTGGAGAGATGTCCATTTAGGTCTTCTGCCCATTTGTTGATTGGGTTGTTTGTTTTAATATTGAGCTGCATGAGCTGTTGATATTTTGAGATTAATCCTTTGCCTGTTGATCCGTTTGCAAATATTTTCTCCCATTCTGAGGGCTGTCTTTTCGTTTTGTTTATAGTTTCCTTTGATGTGCAAAAGCTTTTATTAGGTCCTATTAGGTCCCATTTGTTTATTTTTGTTTTTATTTCCATGACTCTAGGAGGTGGTTCAAAAAAGATCTTGCTGTGATTTAGGTCAAAGAGTGTTCTTCCTGTGTTTTCCTCTAAGAGTTTTATAGTGTCCGGTCTTACATTTACGTCTTTAATCCATTTTGAGTTTATTTTTGTGTAGGGTGTTAGGGAGTCTTCTAATTTCCTTCTTTTACATGTTGCTGTCCAGTTTTGCCAGCACCACTTATTGAGAGACTGTCTTTTTTCCACTGTATATTCTTGCCTCCTTTGTCATAAATTAGGTGACCATAGGTACATGGGTTTATCTCTGGACTTCCTATCCTGTTCCATTGATCTATATGTCTGTTTCTGTGCCAGTACCATATTGTCTTGACTACTGTAGCTCTGTAGTATAATCTGAAATCATGGAGTCTGATTCCTCCAGCTCCGTTTTTTTCCCTCAAGACTGCTTTGGCTACTCGGGGTCTTTTGTGTCTCCATACAAATTTTAAGATTTTTTGTTCTAGTTCTGTAAAAAATGCCACTGGTAATTTGATAGGGATTGCATTGAATCTGTAGATTGCTTTGGGTAGTATAGTCATTTTCAAAATATTGATTCTTCCAATCCAAGAATATGGTATATCTCTCCATCTGTTTGTGTCATCTTTGATTTATTTCATCAGTGTCTTATAGTGTTCTGAGTACAGGTCTTTTACCTCCTTAGGAAGGTTTATTGCTAGGTATTTTATTCTTTTTGTTGCAATGGTGAATGGGATTGTTTCCTTAATTTCTCTCTCAGATTTTTCATCATTAGTGTATAGGAATGCAAGAGATTTCTGTGCATTAATTTTGTATCCTGCAACTTTACCAAATTCATTGATTAGATCTAGTAGTTTCCTGGTGGCATCTTTAGGATTCTTTATGTATAGTATCATGTCACCTGCAAACAGTGACAGTTTTTCTTCTTGTTTTCCAATCTGTATTCCTTTTATTTCTTTTTCTTCTCTGATTGCCATGGCTAGGGCTTCCAAAACTATGTTGAATAATAATGGTGAGAGTGGACATCCTTGCCTTGTTCCTGATCTTAGAGGAAATGCTTTCACTTTTTCATCATTGAGAATGATGTTTGCTGTGGGTTTGTCTTATATGGCTTTTATTGTTTTGAGGTAGGTTCCCTCTATGCCCACTTTCTGGAGAGTTTTTATCATAAATGGGTGTTGAATTTTGTCAAAAGCTTTTTCTTCATCTACTGAGATGATCATATGGTTTTTATTCTTCAGTTTGTCAATATGGTGTATCACATTGATTGATTTGCGTATATTGAAGAATCCTTACATCCCTGGGATAAATCCCTCTTGATCATGGCGTTACGATCCTTTAAATGTGTTGTTAGATTCCGTTTGCCAGCATTTTGTTGAGGATTTTTGCATCTATATTCATCAGTGATACTGGTCTGTAATTTTCTTTTCATGTAGTATCTCTGTCTGGTTTTAGTATCAGGGTGATGGTGGCCTCGTAGAATGAGTTTGGGAGTGTTCCTCCCTCTACTATATTTTGGAAGAGTTTGAGAAGGATGGGTGTTAGCTCTTCTCTAAATGTTTGATAGAATTCACCTGTGAAGCCATCTGGTCCTGGACTTCTGTTTGTTGGAAGATTTTTAATCACAGTTTCAATTTCATTACTTGTGATTGGTCTGTTCATATTTACTGTTTCTTCCTGGTTCAGTCTTGGAAGGTCATACCTTTCTAAGAATTTGCCCATTTCTTCCAGGTTGTCCATTTTATTAGCATAGAGTGGCTTGTAGTAGTCTCTTAGGATGCTTTGTATTTCTGCGGTGTCTGCTGTAATTTCTCCTTTTTTCATTTCTAATTTTATGGATTTGAGTCCTCTCCCTCTTTTTCTTGATGAGTCTGGCTAAAGGGTTATCAATTTTGTTTATCTTCTCAAAGAACCAGCTTTTAGTTTTATTGATCTTTGCTATTGTTTTCTTTGTTTATATTTCATTTATTTCTGCTCTGATCTTTATGATTTCTTTCCTTCTACTAACTTTGGGTTTTGTTTGTTCTTCTTTCTCTAGTTCCTTTAGGTGTAAGGTTAGATTGTTTATTTGAGACGTTTCTTGAGGTAGCATTGTATTGCTATAAACTTCCCTCTTAGAACTGCTTTTGCTGCATCCCATAGGTTTTGGATTGTTGTGTTTTCATTGTAATTTGTCTCTAGGAATTTTTTTATTTCCTCTTTGATTTCTTCAGTGATCTCTTGGTATGTAGTAACATATTTTTCAGCATCCATGTGTTTGTGTTTTTTTATGTTTCTTTCGCTGTAACTGATTTCTAATCTCATAGCATTGTGGTTGGAAAAGATGCTTGATGTGATTTCAATTTTCTTAAATTTACCAAGGCTTGATTTGTGACCCAAGATGTGATCTATCTTGGAGAATGTTCTGTGTGCACTTGAGAAGAAAGTGTAATCTCCTGTTTTTGGATGGAATGTCCTATAAATATTAATTAAACGTATCTGGTCTATTGTGTCATTTAAAACTGTGTTTCCTTATTAATTTTCTTTCTGGATGATCTGTCCATTGGTGTAAGTAGGGTGTTAATGTCCCCCACTATTACTGTGTTACTGTCGATTTCCCCTCTTATAGCTGTTAGCAGTTGCTTTATGTATTGAGGTGCTCCTAAGTTGGGTGCATATATATTTATAATTGTTATATCTTCTTCTCGGATTGATCCCTTGATCATTATGTAGTGTCCTTCCTTGTCTCTTGTAACATTCTTTATTTGAAAGTCTATTTTATCTGATATGAGTATTGCTACTGCAGCTTTCTTTTGATTTCCATCTGCATGGAATATATTTTTCCATCCCCTCACTTTCAGTCTGTATGTGTCCCTAGGTCTGAAGTGGGTCTCTTGTAGACAGCATATATATGGCTCTTGTTTTTGTATCCATTCAGCAAGCCTGTGTCTCTTGGTTGGAGCATTTAATCCATTCACGTTTAAGGTAATTATCTATATGTATGTTCCTATTACCATTTTCTTAATTGTTATGGGTTTTTTTTTTGCAGGTCCTTTTTTTCTCTTGTGTTTCCCACTTAGAGAAGTTCCTTTAGCATTTGTTGTAGAGCTGGTTTGGCGGTGCTGAATTCTCTTAGCTTTTGCTTGTCTGTGAAGCTTTTGATTTCTCCATGAAATCTGAGTGAGATCCTTGCCGGGTAATCTTGGTTCTAGGTTCTTCCTTTTCATCACTTTAAGTATATCATGCCACTCCCTTCTGGCTGTAGAGTTTCTGCTGAGAAATCAGCTGTTAATCTTATGGGAGTTCCCTTGTATGTTATTTGTCATTTTTCCCTTGTTGCTTTCAATAGTTTCTCTTTGCCTTTAATTTTTGTCAATTTGATTACTATGTGTCTCGACGTGTTTCTCCTTGGGTTTATCTTGTATGGGACTCTCTGCGCTTCCTGGACTTGGGTGGCTATTTCCTTTCCCATGTTAGGGAAGTTTTCGACTATAATCTCTTCAAATATTTTCTCGGGTCCTTTCTCTCTCTCTTCTCCTTCTGGGACCCCTATAATGCGAATGTTGGTGCATTGAATGTTGTCCCAGAGGTCTCTTAGGATGTCTTCATTTCTTTTCATTCTTTTTCCTTTATTTTGTTCCATGGCAGTGAATTCCACCATTCTGTCTTCCAGGTCACTTATCTGTTCTTCTGCCTCAGTTATTCTGCTATTGATTCCTTCTAGTGTAGTTTTCATTTCAGTTACTGTATTGTTCATCTCTGTTTGTTCTTTAATTCTTCTGGTGTTTGTTCCTTAATTCTTCTAGGTCTTTGTTTAACATTTCTTGCATCTTCTTGATCTTTGCCTCCACTCTTTTTGCAAGGTCCTGGATCATCCTCACTATCATCATTCTGATTCGTTTTCTGGAAGGTTGCCTATCTCCACTACATTTAGTTGTTTTTCTGGGGTTTCATTTCGTTCCTTCATCTGGTACATAGTCCTCTGACTTTTCATTTTGTTTATCTTTCTGTGAATGTGGTTTTCATTCCACAGGCTGCAGAACTGTAGTTCTTCTTGCTTCTGCTGTCTGCCCTCTGGTGGATGAGGCTATCTAAGAGGCTTGCGCCCAGGCTGTGATCCTTGAAGGGTTGGCTTCCCAGACCTGCCCTGGATGTGACACCAATTGTTTCTCTAGGTTTAGGGCCCTGACCTAATAGGCATAAAAGTTGGGGTGATTCCTAATGCAAGTGAAGAACACATCCCAGGATAATGGCAAACAGCCTCTTGAATCATATCAACATTCTCCTCCTGATACACTGTGCTAACCATAGGCCTTCTTAATTTTCTTAGCCAAATGTCAGAAACAGAAGAAAGCCATTCCAGCATATATCTCCAAGGGGGCTAAAACCATTATGCATAAACAACCTCCAGAATCACTGGCTTCAAAATATGTGTCTGGCTTTTTTGACTATGGAAGAAAGATTCCAAATAAAATTATTTGGCCTGTCCAATTTGCACAGAGATGGCTTGATATAGGACAAATCAGACAGATTACCTTGGATAAGCTGTTAAGGGCCACAGTTTACAGAAAAGGGATTCTTAACTGGGGTTCCTGGACTCTAGGGCCTCCACAGATGGGCACTGGTGGGGGGTGTCACCAAATCCCCTGAAACCATAGGCAAATTCAGTATTTATGTGCTATGGGCATCGTTTTGAGGAGTATATAATCTGCCTCATATCTCAGAGAATCAGTAGAATCTGAAATGTGTGGTGACTTCAAAACAAAACAAAACAAAACAAAACAAAAGGAGAACAACAAAGGAAGCTGTTTCTGGATTTCCCTGGGAGAAGCTTACTGTGAGGATTCCTCCATCCTGGCTGTTCAGTAAAGACAGGCACTTCCGGCTCACCTCCATGGCCCAAACCTACAACAACAAGGAGCGGGAGAAGGAGTTTGCCTATCCTGGTCGTGGTCCTCTGCCTCTTCCTTCTGAGCGCTCAAGTAAAACCGACCACTCTCCACTCCCTCCCTCTTGCCACCACCACGTCTGTCCACATTTCCTTCACATCTTCTTCTATCGCTCGCATTTCTTCCCACGTCCAACTCCCCTAACTACAGGGTGACACCTTGAGAGCAGGGACCACATTGTATTTGACTTTGTAAACGATGAACCTAGCACCATGCTCAGCGCCCTGGATGCTCAACTGGTTTTCAGAATCAATACCTGACAGAGCGACTCATCCATCCCTCGGCAACTCAGGGACAGAGCATCCACCCAGCATTCCCCATTCCCATTGCCAGTGTAGAAGCACTGCCATGCTTCTATCCTCTTTGCAGACATGAGAACAGTTCTTTGCAACAGAACGGGTTAAGGTAGGGAGAAAAGAATGCGGTACCTCAGAAACAAAGGGGGACTGAAGACACAAGTTCATCATGAGTCCCAGGAGGGTATACATGACCTCTCTGAACAGGTCCACATCCTCCTCACACTTGGCCTTTGGAAATAAAACAAGGTGATCAATGATCTTCCTGCAGCTTGTCATGGTCATCTGTTCCCCTCGGCGATGGTCTCAGTATCACTCACACTCCCTAAAATTGTCAGTGTCATGAACCTAAGTGATGTGGGAAGGTCTGAGCCCGGTTTACAGCACAGAGTGTGTGGCGCCTCATGTCATATGTTGTATGCCCTGGGTTCAAACTGCAGATGGAGCTGCTGAAATGGGTGCTCAAGCCAGCTCCACAGAAAACCCTTCGAACATCTCCGGGGTGGAAGAGACTTGATCTGGAGGACTCTGTAAGGCCAGCTGCCCATCAAACCTACTGTTACAGAAGGGGTAAGCCACTGGCCCCAGCACCCTCAAACAGAATTTCTGGAAAAGCCAGATAATGAAGAAGAAGCCAATGCTCTCAAAGCAGGTAAAAGACCAACTTTGACTAGAAAAGCTGAAATACCATGAGGCCCAAGCAGGCATCCCTGAATTCTTCAGAGGCAGACATCTGTCTTCGGGTGGCAGCCTCAGCGCTGAGGTTTCCCATAATGGCAATACACTGGCAGAGAGCTGAGGTGTTGGTGACCTTGGGATCTCTCTTCTAAAAGGGGATGAAGAGAAAGCGAATCTGCAGAGAGCAGACAAATGATGCCAGAATAATCTCTAGGGGCATCCCTCACTCACCAAAATGTCTGGGAACCAGATAGCGTTATGCCACATGGGGACATCGGTGGGGTCACGCTGGCAGAAAGGAAGGAGGCACACAGAGGGGGAGACCCCAAATCACCTTGGTCTGGAATAGGGAGGCCTGGGGCTTAATCCCAGTCACTCCATCAACTAGCTGGGGGCACTGGGACAAGTCCTGTCCCTTCTCAGACCTTCCATTTCCACATCTGTGAAATATTGGCGTGTCAGTATGCCTTCTAAGGTCCCCTGAAACTTCTATGGCTCACTGGGGACAGGTCTAGTCACAGCACGCTCTCCTGGAGGACTCCCGGCCTGGCAATTTTCTCCCTCATCAGCTCCAACCACCACACCTGCCCTCCTGACCGAGATGACTGCCATTCAGGGGACAGGGTTGCACGTGGTACTTATGACGGGACTTGGCTCAGAAGAAGACTGATGGAGACCGACAAACTCTCCACCTTCACCTACTGCAGCCCCCAGGCAGGCTTTCCTCCCCTGTAACCAGCTCTGCCCGTATGCCATCTCCACCTGCCCCCACTGCAGCTGTTTCAACAACCAAGACTTGTATAAATTCCAGCTGTGAATAAATGATTAATCAACCTGAGAGGCAACAGGAGTTCTGGGGTGTAAACTGTGTTGAAACAGCCCCGCTCATGCTCCCAAAAGGGTCTGTCACAGGTGATAAAATGAGGGCTTACTCACCAGCACGCCCGTCAGTGCCAGGAGAACATCTGGAAGGCTGGCCTGGAACCAGACTTGGAATCTGTCGAGAGAACATCAGCCATGATTTATTTCTACCCCGTGCAAACTAAAACATAAATACAGCATCTTGGGTGATGGAGCAGACCGTCCAACCCTGGGCCCGTGTGATTTGCCCCTGCATGGATGATTCATTCGGAACCGAAAAAGGTCGTCACTGGGCAGGTAATGTGGCTTTACTTTTTCTTAGCCTGGAGACTTGCCTTTGACGTTAAACAACAGATCTCAGAGGGTGGCTCTCTCATGCAGAAGCTGCTGGAATCCCTAGGTTTCTGCCGAACTGACTTAGCGCCACCCCTGCCCTCCCCTTGCTTTGAGTCTACACGCTGTGCGCCGTGCAAACAGGAGACACGGTGTAAGCATGTTTACGTGTCACAGCCGTGAGGAGGGCCCCGAGGCACACACACCTCCACCAGCTAGAGAGGCGAGTACACCCTCCCAGCCCGTGCTGATGGCCGGCTGCCAGCACAAACAGCTCTCTCTCATTGTATGACGGTTCCTAAGTAAGACGCCCTAAAGTTGATGAGGAAATCAAAAACAAAACAAGATGCAGTTTTTAAAAAACTGAAAAGTTATGAAAATCTAAGACCTTTACTGTCTTCCCCAGCAGCAGCTAAACAAAGAAAAAAAAAAAAAAGCACGGGGGATGGTTACCCATACTGCCACTGGCGGCCCGGGAGGGCTCTACTTTGTTACTGTGTTTCTCCTCCCTCCCCCTCCCTCTCTCCCTCTCTCCCTCTTTCCCTCTCTCCCTCTCTTTCTCTCTCATTTAATCAGCACATGTCTGCCAGGCAGTTCCTATTAGGCACTGATTAGGGGAAGAAGCCTCACCGCATAGCAGACTTGCTTGCTGGGGGAGTTACTGTTCTAAGTATGTTACAGCTTCCAAGCTCATTGAGGGCCGGGTCGCCCCCTGCACCTAGAGGGACTGGCCCCTGAGGACATCAGCTGTCCTACGCAGTGAATCTTGTGATGCTCAGTTGGTCTAGCCTCCCGTGTGCCTCACGTTTTAGAAGATCAGACAGTTCAACAAAGGTTGAAGAAGAAATGTCAATTTCTGGAAACAAAAATTACCTTTCTTCCAGAGCCAAGTCTGTGAGCAGTCCCATGGCTGAGTTGGCCTTCTTATCTGAGAAATCAAGAAACGACACGAGGGCTTCCAACAACCTGCAAAAATCCGTAACACCCTCAGGGTGGGCTGACCTCCCGCTGACAGCATCCCCAACAAGGAGGCTTCGCATGGAGGCCAGGAAGGAGTCAGCACCTGAGTGAAATAAGCTGAAAGGGCCTTACCATGCCCACCAGGAAGCCCAGCCCCTGCCCACCCCAATGAGGCAGACACCCTCCCGTGGGAATGGCTCTACCACTTAACGGGAGGGCCCAGGGGAATTAACAGTTTTAACCAAAGTTCACTGATTATCAGATGCTGACTTGGAAAGAATCTCTGGTGCCTCTGCCCTGGGACTCTGGCTTGGCCAAGTTGAATCACACAAATGACATCTAAATGGCACCCTTACTAATCTACTGATGACTAAGTGGGAAGGCCCCCTAATGAAGTGGGGGATGGAATCAAGATTTAACAAGATTTTGACAGGTTGCTGAATATATCAGATGAAATTTCAGAGAGTTAAACTCAAAGTCTTTCACTTAGAGCTGGAAATTCTGTTTAAGTAACAGAATTGGGAGACCTGGTTTATACCTGACTCATGTGAAAAAAACTTACAAATTTTTAGCCAGTGGCAAACCTGGTATATGAGCAAACAGTCCGGTGCAGCTGCCGAAAAGCTAATGCAGTCTCAGGCTGCCTTAACAGACTGACCGGCGCCAGGTCAGAAGAGAGAAGAAGGCATTTGTCCATCCAGCAAACCCACACCAAGCACCCACAGCGTGCTGAGTGTCGTGCTCAGTGCTGGGACACAGTACTGAGCTCCTGTCTCGTACAGGGACGTGTGTCAGATGATAGGTTAGAAACAGACACATGTCAAGTGGGCACAGAGTCCCCCTGGCAAGAGCTGTGGGAGGATGGAGATGAGGATGACATTTCCGCATCATTGAAAGTGCAGCATTGGCTACTTGTCCCTTTGTCCGTTCAGTCAACAACACTTACGGGCATTATGTGCTAGGTGATGTGGTAGGTTCTGGAGCCACAGGGATGAAACAAGACAAGGCCCCAGCTCCAAGGAGCTTGTAGGCCAGCGTCAGGCACGTGGGGACGGGAGCAGAGCATCTGAGGCTGAGCACACAGCCGTCTCAAAGACGATGAGGCATACACCGCAGAGGCACACTTGGGGACTGCTAGCGTTTCCTCACAGCTAGTGCTTAGGGAGCGGGGAGGACAGAGAGCTGCGAGGCTGGGGAGCTGGGCAGAGCCAGCCTGGGTCACGGGGGGCCTTCTGGAATGTGTGTACTTTCCCCTGTTAGCCTGTGTCCCGAGTGTGGGCAGTGGACGGCTTGCTTGGTGGGGGTGTATGGGGAGGGCTGAAGGCTTTTGAACCCCTCTCAGTCTCTGAGCTAGAGGAGGCCCCAGGAAGCTGTATTCTAATAAAGCCCCCAGGTGACTCCTAAGCGCTACCTTTCTCAGAAATTCAAGAACTAGTCTTAGAGGCAGTAATTACGGCATTTTAAGCAGGAAAGTAACAGGACAGATGTGCATTTGGGACAAATCCCTTTGGTGGTGTGCTGCAGGCGGATCAGAGCAGGTAGTACCGGAACCAGGGAATCCAACGGGGGGAGAACCGGGGTTTTCCAGACAATAAAGGTTAAGGGACTGAGCTGAGACGGGGCAGAGTAAGACGCACAGTTGAGAAGAAAGAGGCCTCACAATGACCTAGAAGTAATGATGGGAGACGGTGCAGGAGAGCCAGAGGAAATGAATCCAGGAGATGCGGAGGAGATAGGACTGACAAGTACCATTTTCTCAGGGATGTGGGCAGGAGCCAACCAGGGAGCTCTCAGGATTCTGGCCTAGGCAACAGGGTGGATGGAAATGCTATCTATGAAGACAGAAAATTCAGCTAGAGGCTCTGGTTTGAAGAACCGCTTTTGAAACACTAAGTTTATGATACTTGTGACATTGCGATGAAGGTGCCCAGTTGCAGAAGGATGTTTCCTTGTAACATTTGAGAGAGACTTAGACATGATAATTAGGTCCATGGACAAGAAGAGGGCCAAGGGTAGGGTCTTGCGGTCCCTGACGTGGAAAGATGACAGCATAAAGGAGGCTTGCAAAGGGAGCCGAGAAGGAACAGTAGGGAGTGGGAGTAGGGCCAGGAAGGATGATATCATTAGGACCAGATGCCATTAGGCTATAACAGGAGATAAAGACAGAAAAGAGCCCATCAAACTGGGCTCTTAGATTCAGGAGTACGGCCTCCAGTCACCCACATTTATGGTACTGGGTTTATTTAGCAGCTTGTTCTGGGAGGGGTCTGGAAGTCGAACCACCTGAGGAACGGTTGAGGAAACCAGGATGCTTGACCTGGAAAACATCAATGTCTTCAGACACGTCAAACACTGGGATGCGGGAGGGTTGCGTTCTATCCTGCCTGCCTCTACCACAGAAGCTGGAGCCATCTTCCCCCCCAGGGTGGCATGTGACACAATTCTGACCAAAGAGAAACAAAAGCAGTAGCTCCTCTTGATAAAAGGGACAGACCCAGTTGGTGCTAACCTGTCTTAAAGAGGGATGTGATGCTTGGAGTTGCAGCAGCCTTGTGTGACCATGAGGGAAAGGTCAAGAGAAGGACAGAGACCTTGACCCTGCCATTGTTAAACCACCAAACCAGCTGTTACCATCTTTAGTCTTTTTGTTACATGAGAAAAACAAGACCAGTTCTCTTGGCCAAGTAATCTGTCAAATGCAGCAGAAAAAATTTTACCTAGCATACGGGTATCATGTCTCTGAAGCTTCACCATAAGTCTGTGATACAGATGAGATACCAGGCACTTCAAGGCTTAGCAGCTTTCCTGGGTCACACAAGTAGAAAGGGACAAGCAGAGGACGTGGGCTCCGGACTGCTTGAATCTAAAACCCCAGAGCTTTTCACAAAGGGATACTGGCCCTCACTCGGCTCCTGTCCATGCACATTTGTCCCTTCACTTTCTCATTTGGGGAGGAATGTGAGGGTCATGGAACCTGTGTGCAGCCCTGTCCTGTTTCAGACTATCTCATTTCATTTCAGAGAACACGTTCCATCTCTTTCCGGTTTAACTGGAGATGGTCATTAACGAGAAGAGCGGGCACACAGGTAACAAACTGAGGTTTCTTTGACTGTCTAAGGAAAGTAGGCAGGACTACACAAGATGATCACAAATGCCAAGACACTGGAGAAGTTCAAATGAAACTCAAGCGATTCAAAGATAGCTGGGGAGAAAGCTTATGATAACTATAGCTACATTTACTCAAAGAGACCAAAACCAAATGAAAAAACATATGATGAAGGTATTGAGGAAATGACTGAAGAGTCATTTGAAATGTGAAATGCGCTTTTGAGGATTTAACTCTGCTAACGATTCGTTTGCCTGTGTAGGTTGAGCTTCGGGGGCTGCCAAGGCCTTTCCTGTGAGCCATGGGGCTGCTGAGCTGGGCTGAGAAGGGGAGAGTCACAGCCAAGGCTTATCCTGTCCTCAGCGCACATGGACTTCCTCACTGACACGGGACCAGCCCCAGAGGTCTCGCTGTGGTCCAAGAAGGTCTGACACAGCTTCATATTTGATTGCTTTCCTTTTGGGGAACAGAGAGTAGGAGAGAGGCTCCAAGGCCTGGGAGACAGCTGGCTGAGATGCCCCGAGTCAGTAGCTGCACTTTCTCCTGCCCCACCTGGGAAATGGGGTGATGACACTTATCTTGCCTCCCTCCCCATGACATGGTAGTGAACAGAATCGGAAGCCGACTTCTGTTTTTAGGTTACATAGGCAGCATTTATAAAGCAAAGGTAAATCATTGCTACTATTTCTTTTCGGTTGAACCACATGCAGCCTTTTGTGACATAAAAAGTGGCAATTTCACACATTTGAACGAATAATCTTTCGAAGGAAAAGCACTGGGCAGAATCACTGTGCTTCAGCCATTTTTTAAAAAGTTTACTTAGGAAAGAGGAGCATTCCATTCCTATCACCTTAAGCCTTGGAAAGACCTACATGTAACAGTATTTGAAATGTGTTTTATTTACTTATACCCTACCTTGCTCCAGAAAGGGTTTAAGGATATGCAAAATCGGATAGTATTACCTAAAACAGGAATAAGTGAAGAAAAGTAAGGACAGGAACAGGGTAGAGCCAGGACTGAGGCTAAAAGGGCAGAAACAAATAGCCTATTTTACAGTTGGGTTCCCAATTGCTGGTTTTGGAAGTGCTGCCATATTTACAAGGTCTGCAATGTCTGTGAGATGGAAACAGGCTCAGGAGAAGTGACACTGTCCATGGTACCAAGTTCAGACAGGAGTGTCCTGAAGGTCCTCATGAGGGAGTGTTCTTCTCAAAGGCTCTTTCTGTTTCTGAACCTTAATCTGGTAGGCTGGCACCTCTCACGTCAGAGATGTGAGACAGGAGCCAGGCAGGTGTTAATGTGGCAGGTAAGGTCTGAGATGCTGCCGGGAAGCTCCCACCCACAGCGCAGAGCCTTACCCGGTCAGGTCAAGGTGGCCCATGATCAGGCTCCGTCCATTCTCTGTCTGCGCGAGCTGCAGCAGCAGGGCCAGGGTCTGCTGCCGGATGTTCGGGACCCTGGAGGCCAAGAGGGAGGGCAGCAGCTGGCCCATGTCGGGGTGCAGCACAAGCAGGCGCTGGTTCTCCTCTGCAAAACACAGGGCACGTCCATCTAGCGCAGACCATGACAGCAGTCACACCAGTTCAGTCTCCCCACATCTCAACGGGAAACCCAACTCTTCCCCATGCATTTGAGAGGCAGGATAATGAAGGGTAAGAGCAGGGATTCTAGGACCAGACTGCAGGGTCTGAATGACCAAGAAACGACCTTAGCCGAGTCATCAACCCCTGTGCTCCTTATCAGTGGGACGAGGAAGGTGACCAACATAACAGAGTTGTCGTGAGGATCAAGTGAGTTAATACGTGATGGTGCGGAGAACAGGGGCTGGCACACATACATTAGCTATTATCACTATTCTGGCCGGAGGCCTCTTGGCGTACGGTGTTCAGAAATGTGAGGAAAGGAAAAGAAATCAGCTAAATGGTGGAAGAGCTTTAGACCATCGATTTTCATATAATGGCCAGAGCAACTATTTGAGTTTTTTCTAGAAAACTAGAACGATCACATGAGAACATTAATTAATAAAGAATGCTCCCCTTCCTAGACCATGAGCTATTTCCAGGGCGGTGGCATCAGATTTGCCCGCACCCTGCTTTCGCCTGGTGCATTTTCTAATGAGGTACGTGAATTTGAGAGCAGGCGGAGGTACAGGCTGGGGTATGAGGCTAAGCTATGAAAGAGCAGAGTCTGTTTAGTTTACATAAAAATGAAAAGTAGCTCAGTGCAAACAATTCAAATAACACAACGTGTATACAGCTGAAAATGAAAGTCCTCTTCTCTCGTCCGTATCACCTCCGGGTAAGCCCTTTCCCTAAGGGGGCTAGTATTAACCCTTCTTACGAACAATGTTAAAATATGATACATCCTACACTGAAACTGGCTTTTCTCTCTCAGTCAGCACTATATCACAGACATATTTCCACGTCTTTACTTTTAAGCATTCCTTTGTCCTTTTTAAAAACAGCTCTGTATTTATTGAATTGGATATACCAAGATTTCATTGATCTGAGATACAGCGTGTACGTCACAGGCTGTGTCCGACAGTATTTTTCCAGATACTAAAGAAAGATGTGACCCCAAGGTTCACAGAAACCAAAGTGGGCTGCAGGGTGAGGAAGTTGGGCTGCACGGAGGGAAGCATGTCCAATTCATACTGAGGAAATGCCCGGTCACCAAGCCTGCCTCCCTAACCCTTGGGCAGTCGGAGCCGGTGCAGTGTTCTACAGGCAGCAGGGCGCCTTCATTAGGATTATTAGTCTGAACGTAATTCCCTGCAGGGAGGAGTCCCCCTGATTCTCTAGAACTTAAGAATTGTAGAATTTAACATGATTCCTCCACCCTACTAAATCAGGAAAAAAATCATATTACCTCACATTCAGCATTTAATCGTTTACAAGCTGCATTTACAAGCTCTCTCGACAGCTCCCCACAGAAGCCTGTGCATGGCATACACAGCTATCACTCTTCCCATTTTCACTGTTTCGTGTCCAAAGTCAAACATTTTCCCCTCATTAAAAAAAAAATACAATTTTTTTAACATCTTTATTGGGGTACAATTGCTTTACAATGGTGTGTTAGTTTCTGCTCTATAACAAAGTGAATCAGTTATATATATACATATGTTCCCATATGTCCTCCCTCTTGCGTCTCCCTCCCTCCCACTCTCCCTATCCCACCCCTCCAGGCTGTCACAAAGCACCGAGCTAATAGCCCTGTGCCATGCGGCTGCTTCCCACTAGCTATCTACCTTACTACGTTTGTTAGTGTGTGTATGTCCATGACTCTCTCTCGCCCTGTCAAAGCTCACCCTTCCCCCTCCCCATATCCTCAAGTCCGTTCTCCAGTAGGTCTGTGTCTCTATTCCCGTCCCACCCCTAGGTTCTTCATGACATCCTTTTTTTTCTTAAATTCCATATATATGTGTTAGCATATGGTATTTGTCTTTTTCTTTCTGACTTACTTCACTCTGTATGACAGACTCTAGGTCTATCCATCTCATTACAAATAACTCAATTTCGTTTCTTTTTAAGGCTGAGTAATATTCCATTGTATATATGTGCCACATCTTCTTTATCCATTCATCCGATGATGGGCACTTAGGTTGTTTCCATCTCCGGGCTATTGTACATAGAGCTGCAATGAACATTTTGGTACATGACTCTTTTTGAATTATGGTTTTCTCAGGGTATAAGCCCAGTAGTGGGATTGCTGGGTCATATGGTAATTCTATTTGTAGTTTTTTAAGGAACCTCCATACTGTTCTCCATAGTGGCTGAACCAATTCACATTCCCACCAGCAGTGCAAGAGTGTTCCCTTTTCTCCACACCCTCTCCAGCATCTATTGTTTCTAGATTTTTTGATGATGGCCATTCTGACTGGTGTGAGATGATATCTCATTGTAGTTTTGATTTGCATTTCTCTAATGATTAATGATGTTGAGCATTCTTTCACGTGTTTGTTGGCATTCTGTATATCTTCTTTGGAGAAATGTCTATTTAGGTCTTCTGCCCATTTTTGGATTGGGTTGTTTGTTTTTTTCTTATTGAGCTGCATGAGCTGCTTGTAAATTTTGGAGATTAATCCTTTGTCAGTTGCTTCATTTGCAAATATTTTATCCCATTCTGAGGGTTGTCTTTTGGTCCTGTTTATGGTTTCCTTTGCTGTGCAAAAGCTTTGAAGTTTCATTAGGTCCCATTTGTTTATTTTTGTTTTTATTTCCATTACTCTAGGAAGTGGGTCAGAAAGGATCTTGCTGTGATTTATGTCATAGAGTGTTCTGCCTATGTTTTCCTCTAAGAGTTTGATAGTTTCTGGCCTTACATTTAGGTCTTTAATCCATTTTGAGCTTATTTTTGTGTATGGTGTTAGGGAGTGATCTAACCTCATACTTTTACATGTACCTGCCCAGTTTTCCCAGCACCATTTATTGAAGAGGCTGTCCTTTCTCCACTGTACATTCCTGCCACCTTTATCAAAGATAAGGTGTCCATATGTGCGTGGGTTTATCTCTGGGCTTTCTATCCTGTTCCATTGATCTATCTTTCTGTTTTTGTGCCAGTACCATACTGTCTTGATTACTGTAGCTTTGTAGTATAGTCTGAAGTCAGGGAGCCTGATTCCTCCAGCTCCTTTTTTCGTTCTCAAGATTGCTTTGGCTATTCGGGGTCTTTTGTGTTTCCATACAAATTGCGAAATTTTTTGTTCTAGTTCTGTGAAAAATGCCAGTGGTAGTTTGATAGGGATTGCATTGAATCTGTAGATTGCTTTGGGTAGTAGAGTCATTTTCACAATGTTGATTCTTCCCATCCAAGAACATGGTATATCTCTCCATCTATTTGTATCATCTTTAATTTCTTTCATCAGTGTCTTATAATTTTCTGCATACAGGTTTTTTGTCTCCTTAGGTAGGTTTATTCCTAGATATTTTATTCTTTTTGTTGCAATGGTAAATGGGAGTGTTTTCTCGATTTCACTTTCAGATTTTTCATCATTAGTATATAGGAATGCCAGAGATTTCTGTGCATTAATTTTGTATCCTGCTACTTTACCGAATTCATTGATTAGCTCTAGTAGTTTTCTGGTAGCATCTTTAGGATTCTCTATGTATAGTATCATGTCATCTGCAAACAGTGACAGCTTTACTTCTTCTTTTCCGATTTGGATTCCTTTTATTTCCTTTTCTTCTCTGATTGCTGTGGCTAAAACTTCCAAAACTATGTTGAATAAGAGTGGTGAGAGTGGGCAACCTTGTCTTGTTCCTGATCTTAGTGGAAATGCTTTCAGTTTTTCACCATTGAGGATGATGTTTGCTATGGGCTTGTCATATATGGCCTTTATTATGTTGAGGAAAGTTCCCTCTATGCCTACTTTCTGCAGGGTTTTTATCATAAATGGGTGTTGAATTTTGTCGAAAGCTTTCTCTGCATCTATTGAGATGATCATATGGTTTTTCTCCTTCAATTTGTTAATATGGTGTATCACATTGATAGATTTGCGTATATTGAAGAATCCTTGCATTCCTGGAATAAACCCCACTTGATCATGGTGTATGATCCTTTTAATGTGCTGTTGGATTCTGTTTGCTAGTATTTTGTTGAGGATTTTTGCATCTATGTTCATCAGTGATATTGGCCTGTAGTTTTCTTTCTTTGTGACATCCTTGTCTGGTTTTGGTATCAAGGTGATGGTGGCCTCGTAGAAGGAATTTGGGAGTGTTCCTCCCTCTGCTATATTTTGGAAGAGTTTGAGAAGGACAGGTGTTAGCGCTTCTCTAAACGTTTGATAGAATTCACCTGTGAAGCCATCTGGTCCTGGGCTTTTGTTTGTTGGAAGATTTTTAATCACAGTTTCAATTTCAGTGCTTGTGATTGGTCTGTTCATATTTTCTATTTCTTCCTGATTCAGTCTTGGCAGGTTGTGCATTTCTAAGAATTTGTCCATTTCTTCCAGATTGTCCATTTTATTGGCATAGAGTTGCTTGTATAAAAAAAAATACAATTGTTTTAAAAAATGAGGGAAATACCTAAAATTTTTATTGAGGTCACTAAAGTGATAAGACTGTACAAAAACTCAGTGAACCCCGGAAGAGGCTAATATGCAAAAAAGGAAGAGTTACAGTAAATAACTCCCCATAGCATGTTACTGTCCCAATATTACGCATGAATCAATCAGTGTCACAAGAGGCCGGCAGGGATGGTTGTAAATCTCATGATGCTGAAACCGGTACTGTGGTCAGCAAAAAGGGAGCACTATTTTCCAGCAGACAGAAAAGGAAAAACTCTGCCTTCCTCACCGCCAGTGCACGAGCTGAAATCACTAGTCTGCAAAGAGCCAGGGCAAGTGCCCAGGTGATGAGACCACGCATGATGCTGACCGTGACCTTGCCCACTGCGGAGGCGGCTGCGAGGTTGCCGGAGACACGACTGCAGCGCAGGTCTCGCTTCTGATCCATATGCTTTTCCAGGGGAGTGTCTAGACCGCCATCTCCAGGGCCTGTCCTAGAGGAACAATCCTGCCTGCCCACACCCCCGCCCCGTAGCCCTCCCATTACCAGCGCATTAACGATGATCGATGGTTATTCCCTGGCTTACCATTCTCACTGCACACCGCTTGCCAGAGCCTGAGAACAGACATGCATACTGTCTCTTCCACTGCATCTTTTCCTGCTGTGGAAAAGCACCTACAGTGGGCAAGGTAGAGCAATATTAAAACTGCAAATCAGTCTTGATCTTCCTTTCAATTGGTTTTATTTCACCTCCAGACTCCTCAAATATGGGTTTAAGAAAGTCACTTCTTAATTCAGAGCCGCAGGTCACCAGGACCAAAAGGGACTGCTAGGACCTCAACTGAGAGCTCCAGGACAAGGATGCAGCCAAGGAAGCTGGGTCTGCACAGAGGGAGGGTGGTGAGCCGGAGGCCAGGGCATTGGCTGCAGCAGGACCAATGAACTGTGGTGGGCCAGCAGACCACTTAGGGTTCGTGAGCCTCATCACACACACAAACGTGTGCTGGTGACTCCAACCCACACCAGTGTCCTAAGCCATGGGAACTGCACCAGAACAATTGAAATACAAAATAAATTTAGCAAACTACCTCCTGCCATAGGGGTCTTCCTTCAGATACAATGATAGATGAGATCAGCCAGGAACCAGCTGATCTCATTTCCTGTTATGATCAGCAAAGTCCAAAAGAGGACAAGAACAAAGAGCAATCTTGCAAAAACTGGTGGGAAACCAGCAAGAGTGGCCATTTCTCTGACTCTGAAGTGCTTGGAGGAACCCTGGGAAGTTTTCCTAACCCAGTATTGACTGAAGGTAGTACCATCCAGTGATCACGCTGCCTGTGTGATGAGTGTCTGATTTCATGAGAACTGGTTGTCTTTCCTTGCTTTGATGCCAGGCTGTCTTTACAAACATCCCTACCTTCTTATGACCTCATTCTCACTGATGATACTGAATCCATTGTGTGTTCTGAATAAAGTTCGTTCCGTGCCTGAAACAAGTTCAGAGAAAACCGTGTCGTCAGACTCCTGAACTGTCTGGCTGATGTCTAACTGTCACAGAGCCAGATGATAACAGAAACCCAATATGGAATGTCTAGATCACCAAATCCACAGTTTGGGCAGAAACAAATATCTCCAATTCTGAAACCTAAGGCTGTCATCAGCCACTTGGTGCCACCGTGAGAGGGATGCCCTGTTCAGAGAAGAGCTGAGCCCGGGGGGCCCCAAGAGTGATCTGACAACTCATCATTCTGTAATCTCTAGAGAGTCTCCAGGAGCCGCTTAACCTCCTAGAAGAACTGGCATATCCATCTGTTCTTAATAAATGTTTATTTCAAAGCTGTTTCCAGGCTCTAGAGAGGAACCTATAATCTCCAAGAAACTACTGCAGGGATGTTTGAGCACCCTCCACATTACACTAGAGGAAATCAGACTCCATCCATTTGTACAAACATCATTCTGTCACTGAGTAACAACACTGGTTTCAGCCCTGGGATCAGTAATTGCAGAAACTACTAAAGCAGAGCACTGTGGCTCTCGTTAGCAGGAGGACAGCTGATGTTTGCTCTGAAACTATTTCCACATCCTAAGCTGCCACTAAGTGTAACTGGGATGAACGTTACAGTTTATCCCACAAAACTCTGTCTTCCATTCCTCTACGGTTGGGGGGAAACCTGTGGGGCTGGTGCAGGGTGTTGGGGGTGTATACGGGGTCTGTGTGGGGTATGCAAAGGGTGTGTGGGTATGTGCAGCACGTGGGGCACACCCGTGAGGGGTGAATGTGTGTGGTGTGCTTGTATGTGATATAAGCATATGTGGTATATTTGTCCCACACGCGTGGTGTGTGTGTGTGTGTGTGTGTGTGATGTATGTAAGTATACATGACAGTGAGCACATGCTGTGTGTGTGTGTGTGTGTGTTGTGAGTATATATGGAGTGCATGCCGTCTGTGTGTTTTGTGTCATATTGTGTAGTGTTTACAGCCTGTGTGTCATGTGTCAGCATGCTGTGAGGAGGGGATGGAGCTGGGATGGGTTGTGTCTCTTAAGCACCCTCTCTAGCACCTACATTATAGTAGACCTTCAATCAATATTGGTGGAAGGAAGGGAGGAAAGGATTCTTTGCCTCATGAGGACAGACCTCTAAACTCTGTCCCCTTATACTGACAATATTCATGAGATCACACACATCGCTGGCTTACAATCCTTCATCATGTCAGTCAGGATTTCAATCCCCCCTGCATAGAACAAGGGGATCTGATCAGGCTTGGAAAGAATCTCCAGAAGATTCTTGGTCGTCACGGCTGTATTCGTGCCTGAATCCAGTGCTTCCTGGGCTTCCTTCTCTTGAAGGTCTGCTTTCTCCCGAAGATCTACCTGATTCAGGTAGTCTAGCAAAACAAGAAGGAAAACACAACAAAACCCTAACAATCAACATGTCCACACACGGAGCAACCTGTTTTTAAGGATGGGAGGAGGCTGAAAGGCAGAAAGCATTAAAATAATTCAGACTCATCTTCAGCAGGGAGAATTTTAGGAGGCGTGTACAGTTTCTACCAGGAATCTTAAAACATCTTGGGAATTATTCAAGGCCAACACTGTTCCTTGTCTAGAAGGCTTGGAGGGAGGATGGTGGAGAAAAGGAGGAAGGCCAAGAACAGAGGAAGAGGAGCAAGGCTGGGCTGTCATGAGAGGATGTGATTGTGAAGGGCTGGGCGTGGCTGTGCTTGCGGCCAAGTGCAGAGAAGGCATGGAGGACACCCCAGGACCGGGGCACAGAGGGGAGGTGCAATTTGAACAAGGACATCGGCAGGAAGTCTCACCTTTCACCTGTGTCTGCAGCTGGGGGTTTATTTCTAAGATCTTCTGATAACACTCTCTAGACTGGAAGAAAGAAACAAGGTCTTGAAGAGTGGTTAGGGGCGAACGGTGATTATAAGAAAGGCACAGGGTATCATTATCTCCTCCCAGCCTCCCCCGCTACCCGCGTCGGAGGTGGGCATGGGGAACGCAGCATGCATTTGACATTTTGTTTAGGCTTCTTTGGTTCTGTGGGGCAACAGGTATTATTTCAAATTTTATTTTAAAAAATAGTGTTGTCAGATACAGCCTGTGATGGAAAATATCCAGTCCTAAATTCTCGTGGCTCATGTCTGGCTGGGATAAGAATAATCATAAGGTAAATGCAAAATTCAGATATGATATTTGCACTGAGAAAGAACAGGAGGCTACCTGTCAGATATGCTCACAGGGAATAAGGAAATAAATGAAGCTAGAAACACTGTTGACAGAGACTTGGGAACAGGAAGCGAGAACTGCCTATTTAAACGTACAGGCTGCAAAGAGCTGGTAAGGGGTCTGTTCACTGGCCATGGAAGAGTCAACTAGAACACTTGAGCGTGAGAGGCTCACTGAGGACACTGTTAGATAGAAAGTTTCTGGAAAAGAAAGATTCTTGTTAATGGGGCATGATGATGGGTTTAGGGCAGTACAGTCCTCAGGGCTATCAATGCGACCAGTCACTGAAAGAAAAGGCTCAGAAAAAAAAACCCCAAAAAACAAAAAACGAAAAACAAAGAAACATTCTGAGATGTCTTAAAAGCTCAAGGCTCATCTAAAAGATTAGGATTAAGAAATGAACTGAAGAAAAAGCATCACATTAAAACAGAGAATAGTGTTGCAGGATATCAAACATGGTAACTGTAACAGACTGAATGTTTGCATCCCCCCAAAATTGAGATGTTGAAAGCTAACCCCCAATGTGATGTATCTGGAGGTGGGGCCTTTGGGAGGTGATTAAGTCATGAGGGTAGAGCCCTCATGAGTTGATTAGTGCCCTATTAAAGAGACCCCAGAGAGCTCCCTCACCCCTGCTGGCTGTCTATGAACTAGGAAGCAGGTCCTCACCAGACACTGAATTTGCTGGCATCTTGATCTTGGATTTCCTAGCCTCCAGAACTGGGAGAAATAAACCTCTGTTGTATAAACCACCCGATCTATGGTATTATGTTATAGCAGCCCAAAAGGTCTAAGAGAGTAACCCTGTATCCAACTTCTTTTTAACCCTAGCTCTAATCTATCAGCAATTCTTGTTGGCTTCACTGTCAGTATATAAGCAGAACCCCAGGACTTCTCACCACCTTCATCATCACCAACGTGGTCCAAGCCATCATCATCTCTCACTTGGATAATTTGTTGCAATAGCCTTCTGACTGGTTCTCTCTTCTTACATGTCAAGATATATTCTCAATACAGCAGAGTGATCCTTTAAAACATGAGTCAGATCATTTCTCTCCTTTACTCAAAACCCTCTGATGGCTCCCAGCTCACTCAAAATAAAAGCCAAGGTCCTTCCAAAAACCTGTAGGGCCCTAGGGGATCAGTCCCCCACGTATCCCCCCCAACCTGCTCACCTCATCTCCTCTCACTCCCCTCCTTGCTCACTCCATTCTAGCTAGCCCTCTATCTGGACCACTCTTCCACTGTATAATATATCCACATGGCTTGCTCACTTCACTCCTTCCCTTCCTCCAGAGAAGCCCTCCCTGACCACTCTCTGTAAAACCAATCTCACCTTCACCACTTCCTGATTTAGTTTTCTCAGTAACACTTATTGCTACCTAACATACTACACATCTACTTATTTGGCTTCTATCTTGGGACAAGTCGCCCCTACCACAAGAATGTGAGTTCCCTTAAGTCAAGGATTTTGTCTTGTTTGCTACTGTATTCCTGTTGCCTAGGACAGTGCTTGGAACATAGAAGCATGCATTAAATATGTGCTGAGTGAATTAATTAACTGAATGAATGAATAAGTAAATGGAACTTGGTGGAGGGGGGAGATTAATATTTTCCTTTTTACTTCTCTATTATTTGACCTTATTACAATAAGTCTGTATTACTTTTAGAATTAAAATCCAACAAAGAATAATTTTTTAAAATGTACAACGGGGGCAATTTCTTTTTAAAAATAATGTATCTTGTAAATGGAAAGATATCTCATGTTCATGGACTGGAAGCCTTAATATTGTTAAGATGGCAATAATCCCCAGGTTGATCTACAGATTCAATGCAATCTCCATCAAAATTCCATCTGGCTGAGTAACATTCCATTGTATAAATGTACCACATCTTCTTTATCCATTCATCTGTCAATGGACATTTAGGTTGCTTCCATGTGTTGGCTATGGTAAATAGTGCTACAATGAACAATGGGGTGCATGTATCTTTTTGAATTAGAGTTTTCTCTGGATATATACCTAGGAGTGGGATTGCTGGATTATATGGTAGCTCTATGTTTAGTTTTTTTAAGGAGCCTCCATACTATTGTCCAATTTACATCCAACAGTGTAGGACAGTTCCTTTTTTCTCCACACCCTCTCCAGCATTTATTATTTATATTACTCAGCCATAAAAAAGAATGAAATAATGCCATTTGCAGCAACATGGATGGACCTGGAGATTATCACACTAAGTGAAGTAAGTCAGACAGAGAAAGACAAGTATCATATGATATTGCTTACATGTAAAATCTTAAAAAAATGATACAAATGAACTTATATACAAAACAGAAATAGATCCAAAGACACAGAAAACAAACTTACGGTTACCAAAGGGGAAAGGGGGAAGAGGGATACATTAGGAGTTTGGGATTAACATATACTCACTACTATATATAAAATGGATAACCAACAAGGACCTACTGTATAGCACAGGGAACTATTCAATATTTTGTAACAACCTATAAGGGAAAAGAATCTGAAAAAATAGGTATATATATATATATGTATAACTGAATCACTTAGCTGTACACCTGAAACTAACACAACATTGTAAATCGACTATACTTCAATTAAAAAAAATTCCACCTGGCTTCTTTGCAGAAATTGACAAAGCAGATCTTGAAATCTGTATGGTAATTCCAGTAACCCAGAATAGCTAAAACAATCTTGAAAAAGCAGAACAAAGTTAGGAGGCTCACACTTCCCAATTTCAAAATTTACTACAAGCTGTAAGAATCAAGACAATGTGGCATAGGTATAAGAGTAGACATAAACAAATGGAATAAAATTGAGAGTCCAGAAATAAACCTATGCATTTACGATCAATTGATCTTTGGCAAGGGTGCCAAAATCATTCAGTGGGAGACAAGACAGTCTTCTCAACAAATGGTGCAATAGAATATTGTTCAGCAATAAAAAAAAAAAGAAGTATTGTACATACTACAACATGGATGAAACTTGCAAACACTATGCTAAGTGAATGAAGCCAGTCACTAAAGGCCACATATTGTATAATTCTATTTATATGAATGGTCTAGAATAGGCGAATGTATAGAGACAGAAGTAGATCAGTAGTTGTCTAGGGTTGAGGGCGGGGTGGAGGGGAGGGGAGTGACTGCTAATGGGTATAGGTGTTTTTGACGAAGTGACAAAAATGTTCTAAAGTTGATTGTGGTGACGGTTGTGCAACTCTGTGAATACACTAAAAACCACTGAATTGTATACTTTCCATAGGGGAATTGTTTGATACGTGAACTATATCTCAATAAAGCTGCTATTAACAATATCCAATATCTTAGTGTGTATATCTCTCTGCATGGTTACTTTCAGGAGATGAGATTACAAGTGAATTTTGTTTTTTCATCTTTTTGCTTATGTCTTTTCTCTCCAGAGATGCTCATCCCGGGACTGGACGGACACTGGTAGAAGATATTGCAGAAGAGATTCCTACAGCAGGTGGGGCTATTATCAGATGACAGTCAACATCCTTCCCAGCTCTAAGATCTTAAGATTTACCCTGGAAAATACTAAGAAGTGGATTAATATCTCATCAACTTGGAGGAATGTGGTTCTTCTCTGAGACAATCTGAAGCACTGCTCCGAGATCAAACATGCCACTTAAGGTTCCTCTAGCACTTACCACACTGTAGTTCTTTAGGGCCAGGTGGGCTTTTCCCATGTGGAAATATGCTTTTGTGCATTTTTCATCACACTGCATAACAGAGAATCACTGATCAGATGTTCCGGAAGATTTGAAGTTATCAGCCCCTCCCCCAACTGCCCAGCTAATAGGGATAGGGTAGTGCTTTGATTCTCAGGACAGCCAGCAGAGTTGACAATTCAGACTTTTCTGTGCATCTGTAACCAAACTAATTGATGCCTGCAAGGAGCCTGGATGCACAAGTAAGCTCTCTATTAAATTAATTACGATACTTGCCAGTTTTCATTTCCATTTAATGAGGCAACCAGGAAACAAACCAGAAACCTTTAGTTTGGAAGAGCTCTTGACCTTGGCTGAACATTAGAATCACCCAGGTGCTTGTAAAAGTCCTGATGGCCCAGCTGAAACTCACATCAATTAAATTATACTAGTGGGTAGGACCCGAGGCATCAATAATTTTTTAAACTCTCCAGGTGATATAAATGTGCAACCAAGTTTGAGAACCACTGGTTTATTAAAAGGGAGGAAAATTTACGCTGGGTAAACAGCTGAGGTTACTATTGTATATTTATGTTCCTTCCTTGAAATAAACCACGACATATATACTAAGAACTTGCGTTCCTATCACTTACGATCAGGAGGGATGCCCCCTTCAAAACTTACGAAACTTATGGCTGAAACGATACCGCTTGCACAGGGGGCCCTGCACCTGCCTGCTTCGAATTATTATAACTCCAGAGGGAATAATGTGGCACAAAGACATAAACTATAATTTAAAGCATCCAGTTAATTCATTGAATCCCTTTTATGTGCCAGGCATTGTGCCTGGTTGGATGCCATCAGGGGTATAGATGTAAAGAGGTTAAGGGTCCAAGCTCAGGCGTCTAGAAAGTCCTGGGTGAAGCCCTGTCTGCCTCTCACCAGAAGTGGCACGCTGGCCAGGCCACCCAGCTTTTCTGAGGCTCATTTTCTTCATCTGCAAAGCGGGCTATTGTGAGGAGGGAACGTGTGTAAAACACTGTGGTACCAGGTAATAGAGGATTAGCTGCTGTTGTTGCAGTTACAGCAAAAGCAATCCATTTCAGGGCAAAAAGGAAAATTTAAAGAAAAGCTAAAGAATAATAGAAGGGGTAACAATAATTGTTATATTTGGAGAGGCCTTTATAGATGCATTTTCATGAATACCGTTTCCTGATTCGTTGCTAAGTGAATGACAGTAATAATATTAGTGCGTTATTGTTCAGTCCTGACCATATGGTTCATATGAATTATCTCATGTAAACTTTATAACAACTCCATGAAGTAGAGATAATTATTAACCCCATTTCACATATGAGGAAACTAGGGGTTGGAGAGGTTCAAGGTCACATAGATAACTAAGTGGAAGAGCTGGGATTAAAATCTAGCCATTTGACTCCAGGACCCAAAGGCTTAAAAATTACACCAGATCTCCCTCAGAAAAGTGCTATAGCAGTTGAGTAGAAGGAAATCCACTCTGAAGACATACAGTCTAACAAAGACATACTGTGTTTCAGAGGATGCAAAGACAATCACATGGAAACCTGCGGGGTGGGGGGCAGCTGAAATACAGATGTGAGAGCCATTTGCAAGAATGACAGTTGACAGAGGAGACGAGAGCTTTGAGGGAGAAACTGTAGGAGGAAGAAAGGCAGGGAGCTGTGCAGTGAACCCTGGAGAACTCACAGAGGATGGAACTGAGGAAGCAGGAAGGGAACTGTCAAAGGGAACGGAAACTCTGGCACCGCAGCTCGCAGAAGCCACCTGTTCACAGCACCTTCACCGGAAGGGCGGCAGGGTTCCAACAGGGGAAAAGGAGCCCCAGATCGCGTCCACGTCCCACTGTGCCTTCGCGAGGGGTGCATCGTGACCACATTTGCTCAGACACTAACACAAAGGGCCACTAATGGATTTTCTCACTAATAGGCCCTTTCTCCTTCGATGAGGTACCAACCCTCACCAGGATTCTCAATTGAACCCCAGGTCCCCTCAAAAGGAATCCTGCCTTCAGAGGAAGGTGCAGGAAGAGTTCTGCCGAGAAAGAAATGATTCTTATCCTAATTAAAACCAGCTTCGCTGCCTTATCTTCCCTGACTAGGAAGATCAGTCTTGAAATGTCATCACATGGGCTTGTCTCTGCCAATTCACAAGTGTCAAAAATATTAAACCGGCATGAAAGTACTAATACTACGAATAATGGAGTGCCACTGACATTCACTGCTAATATTTAAAAGGAGTGAAACTTTTTCTTTTAATTCACAGCTTCCACGTAGAGCCAATGATTGTTAGTTTTTAGAATTCCTTATACATTTTTTCCCCATCCCTCCAAGTGTTTACCCAATCGTCTTCAACGGGAGCCTTGCTGGACGTTTAACAAGGCTGGCTGCTGGGTGTCAGCATTTTTTAATGTCAGCTGTGCTGGGCCTGCTTTGCCTCGGTTTCACCGTTAATAACATCGTGTTTCAGTGAACATTTGGGAATGGGCCAGTGTGTCGTCCTGAATCAGCACGAGGCTGTGACTACCTCTTTGGTCCTTTTCAGATCAGAAAAGATGCTCCTGGAAGCCCCACAAGGAGATCTTGTTTCTGCCACAGAAGGAATGAAAGCCACACCCAGGGATGATGGGGTTTCCTGGATTCTGTGGAGAAGCTGTTTATAGTCAACAATTCAGGGCACCAGCCTACAGTTAGGCCAACGTTAGCTATGTGATCCCACACAGTTTACTTAGTTAATCTCTGAGGCTCTGTTTCCTTGTCAGAAAGATAAGGATAACTGTGGAATTGACCAGAACAGAAAAGAAGGCTGTGAGGCTCCAATGAGACAGCTCACGGCCAGCGTGCAGTGAACGGCAGCTTTTGCCGTTGTTGCTGGAACACCAGAGGAAAACGCCCTTGCCTCTTTCTTCTCTTACAGATGATAGTAGAAAAAAGTCATGATCATATAAGGTGACAAAGCAGGCTAATGGATCTCCACCGGAGCTGTGGAGAACCTAATGGCGCCAGTCTGGGGCAGCTCTCATCACTTAAAGACTGTCACGATGCAATGGGACAAGGTGTCCCCCACACCGTATCTTCTAGGGGGTGAAGAAATCAGGCACTCCAGATATCCATTTTGGTGGGATGCTCGTGTTTTATAAACCGTTGTTAGTAAAGGTGAGCTTCGAATTCCCCTGTTTTCTTGCATACCCTTTCAACAAAATGTAGGGAAGCAGGTGTGGCCAGTGTGCTGCTGTTGCGATGTGCTCTTGTCTGGGGGCCACGCTCATTAAGCTGGGGTAGGCAGTGCTGGACCAGGGGAAGCTATGCCATAGGATAAACCTGGCACGTTCTCCCGGCACTTCAACTTTACTTGATTATAAATTATTTAAAATAACATGGCTATATTAAGACAAATAGATAACATTTTATGGCATGCAATGCAAAATTTGCAAGGATTTTTAAGATAAAACATGTGTCTAAAAAGAAATTTCATGCTCTCTGCTTCTAGACCCTCCAGGGGCTCATGTTTATTCTGTTAGCACTTCAGCAAGGAAGGCTGAGAAGCACTGTTTTTGGTTATTTAGTTAAGCCCCTGTGACAGAGTAACTTGGGGGAATGTGGATTAAGGGTTATTTAAATATTTAGTCATCTGAAATAATGTTCCTATGAAGTGATCATGACATTTCTCTTTTAAAACCCTTCTAATATTTCTACCAACAGTCCTTCCTCCTCTCCACCTTTGATTATCTATTCTGTCAGGTTTCAGAGGGAATACCAGGCACAGTATTAGGCTATCAGCCTGAGGCCTGACTAGTACCCAAGCTGAACGGCAGGAACTCTTTCTTCTGATTATTCCTCTACAAAGAGGGGGTGCTATGATACATTTCCAAATTATCAGAGCCGGAGAGGAAAAGCCCAGACTGATGAGGAAGAATGGCAACACTGTGGAAAGAAGCCCCCGAGGTCAGCTCTGGAAAGAGAAGGCGGCGCCTCCGCCACCACGTGGAGCACAGCACCTGTTAACACAGCAGTGAAGGGTGCGCCCTTGTGATCAAGCCCTGAGAGACCCATATTAACAGCGGCTTCTCCAGAGCACTTCCCACGGGCAAGGCACCGAGTGCATTATCACAACCCTCACGACAATTCTACTCGTTCCCATTTTACAGATGAGGAAACTGAGACTCTGACTGCAGAGCCTACACCCTTTCCTGCCATGATACACTGGCAGCTCCCCCCCTCTCTTCACTTCAGGACTGAGACATCTGGCCCCAGCAAGCCCAGCTCCATCACGTGGAAGAGGAAACAATCTTCTTACCTTTAGAGCCCAGTCACAATCCACCAGTGCCTTCTGGTAGTCCCCAAGTTTGATATAAGCCTGTAAGGACACAAACAGCTGCTATTCATACACAGCTCTGTAGCCGGCAGTCTTCCGTCAACACAGAAAGAGTAGTCCGGCAGGAGAGTGGTGATGAGAAGTAACTCGTCCCTACCTGTACCAGTCAGGGTCCCAGCGGGAAACAGGTGCCACTCACACGGGGTAACCGGGGAGAGTTTAATAAAGGGACTATTCACAGCGTGAGGGCAGGGTGGAGGGAGACCAGCAGTGGATAGCCGTCACCACTGCCAGACCTGAAGAGGCAGAGGGAGGAGCAATGAACAAAACGGGAGAGGGTCGCTTTGTGAAGAGCGCCGCTCACTAGGAGCTGAGGCCTTTGGTAGAGCAGAAGCTGGGAGAATAAAGCCGCAGTTCACTTTCCTCCTTCCTTCTCAGCTCGTTGGCTGAACCCAAATGGCAGTTAGAAAGCTGGGAAGCCAAGAGGGCAGTCCACAGAGGTCAGTCTCCCAGGGCACAGAGCAGGGCAGAGAAGGAGCTGGAGAGGCAAACAGACAGTACCCAGCACACTGACCACCCCTACAAAGGAAGAGCTAGCTTCTGGAGGCTACCCTGCTGTGAATGTTCCAGAAGGAAGCCAGATGAGAAAGGGAATCAAAGAGACAGGTAATAACAAGTGTTGGTGAGAATGCAGGAAATCAGAACACTCATACACTGCTGGTGGGAATGTGAAATGGTGCAGCGATTTGGAAAGACAGTCTGACATTTCCTGGAAAGGTAAAACACAGAGGTACCATAGGATCCAGCAATTTCACTCCTGGGTAGATAGCCAAGAGGGCTATAAACATATGTCCACGCAAAAAGTTACACACCAGTGTTCATAGCAGAATTATTTATGAGAGCCAAAAAGCAGGAACGACTCAAATGTCCGTCAATTTTTGAAGGGATAGCCAAAATGTGGTAGATCTAGGCAATGAAATATCATTTGGCAATAAACAGGAATGAAGTGCTGATGTATCTGCAACATGGATGGACCCCGGAAACACTGTTAAGTGGAAGAAGCCAGACACATAAGGATAAACATCATATGATGTCATGTATATGAAAAGTCCTGAATAGGCAGATGTATAGAGACAGAAAGTAGATTAGTGGTGGCCTGGGGCTGGGGTGGGGGAGGGGAGGAGGACTGGGGAGTGACTGCTTAAAGGGTACAGGCTTCTCTGGGGGATGATGAAACTGTTCTAAAATTGGCTGTGGCGAGGGGTCCACAACCCTGTAAATACACCAAAAACCGCTGAGTTGTACATTTTCAATGGGTGATTGTAGGTTATATCAATTGTATCTCAATAAAGCTGTTATGGAAATATGCTTAAGAAAAAGTTCCCCTTCTTTCCTCATGAGTGCAGCAAGAAGGAAGAGAAATAGGAAATGAGCTGACATTTAAGAGTCAGACCACCCCCAGGAGCCCTCGGTTTCAAATGCCTTGGGGCTCTCTTCCGGGATCTCCTAGAATTGGGGAAAATCTTGAAAATCAAGAATTAACTCAGAAATCTGTGATCCACTCAAACTAAACCGAATTAAGAATCTAGTTCATTTATAGTTTCAGAGACGTGTGATCTATAAACAAATGAAGTCATTTAACAGCAAGCACCATGGCTACTATACCCTCTGTATTTAATTACTGGACATAAAAGGTGCTTAATAAATTCTTATCAAGTTGCACAAAGTAGACCTTAAGGGCTCTTCTTTTTGAAAGTTCACTAAGAAGCAGCAATGATCACCCTGTTGGAAGAAAGGAAAACCAGGCACCAGGGTCCCTTCAGTCACCAATAATAGACCCAATACTCCATGGAGGTTTGCCCACGATCAAAACTGTACCAGGGCACTGTGACACTGAACAATAAATCTGATGAGATATTTACATGGACAGGCCAAATATGAGGTTAGTGTTATAATTCATGAGAAATCTAAGCATTCAACCAAAGTGAGGAGTGAGCAGGCAACAGCCAGCTAATGGGATTTCTGCCGGGCAGCTCTTCACACCAATACATAGGAAGCTGCTATGCAGTGCTTTCATTAACAGGGCTTCAGTACTAATTGAAGGCAACGCCTCTTTGAGCCCTCTGTTCTATAAAGCACCACCCTTTCCTCCGGGTGTGGGGTTTCATTAGAAAGTCAGAGGATGTGAGGAAGAAACGAACATCCTTCTAGACAACCGTAGTCATAATTTCACGACACTGTTATTCAGGATACAGACTCTGAAAAATTCTATATGGGCTTCAACAATTTTTCTACAGAGCCTTTCACTTTTCTTTCTTTTTCTTTTTTTAAAGCTTGGACCCAACACCCTATAAATTCCCTGTTCTCTTTTGTTTTTCCACATTTTAAAAAGAATGACTTTTCCAAATGGCAATTAAACTCCTGATTTATCTAAATTACACCAGCAATTTATTGATCATAACATTAGCTCCAGGAGAAAAACACGGTGATGAAAGGGTAGGTTTTCTCTCCAGCAAGCAGCGACCCTCAGTTCACAGGGTCCTTATTTAGTGTTTTCTAACACTGCGTGCAAACAGGGAGGCATTTTAAAAATAGTCAACGGTTCAAATGATTCTCAACACCAGGCAGCACATTTTGCATTTATTTGTCTCTGAATAAGCTTTCTCTTTGGGAAAAGTGGGAGGAATTGCCTTCCCAAAGCTTTTCATTGCATTTACTTATTTTTATCCACAGTCATTCTTAATGTGATTCTCCAGAACTAATCAAAGTGCTGCTTCAACTTGAGTATAGTAAAAATGTAACTAATTTAGATGAATCAGGGTATAGACCATCTGAATTAGTATAAGTCTGAATTACATAACATTTTAAAGGCAACTCAATTTTACAGCTTTCAAATAACGTCAGAGTAACAAGACTGAAGAAGCATCAGTAGGTAAATGTTCTGGAGACCAAATTTGGTGATAAATAAAAAGGAACTATGATTATTCTATTAATTGTTTGCATTTAAATGTTCCTTTTGATGTGTCAACAGAAACGCCATTCCCTTAAATGGACTTATTGTGCCTCCACCCAGTGTTATGTAACTTAACAAGGATTTATTGAACATCTGTTATAAGTAAAGCATTAGGGGGAAAAGTATATGGCAGTTTTTACCTTCAAAAAGTTTATAATCTTGTTAGGGGGATAAGAAGTACATGGCGAAATCAACCTCTGGCCATTTTATTTACTGATTCTCTTCTTTATTACAATTTTTCTCCACAAATGGGGCTAGGTAAATGACACCTCAGCTCGAGTCCGATTTATCCAAACTGCTGAACTAATGAGCTTATGTTGTGCTTGGATTTATTTATCATTAAGTCACTGTCACTGCCCAGCCTTTCTGGACTGCTAACGTCCTGTTTCTTGCACTCTCCCTCAACATGCCACAGCAGGATCTTCTTAATCTTGAGTTATAGAAATTGGAGCCGATGAATCTCTCCCTCTTGTAAATGACATGGTGTCAAGTTCATCTCACCCAGGTCCTGCTGACATATCCTGATCATTGGATAATCATGTCCACGAATCTGCCAATTTTTCAGGCCTGAGCGGCAGAGAGCTCTTCCATGCACAAACTCAAGTACTTTTCAAAGATAAGGTCACAGGTGACATTTTTGCTTCAACTGAGAACTATTAATTTTGCCCTTCATTAAGTAGTAGATAATAAACATCTGGGTGATGGTTTTTACCTGGTGTTCCAGGAATCTGAGCTCGTCTGTGATATGAAACGGAGGTATGAGGGATTTCAGAAACTCAAAATTTCTGAGAAATTGGCTCTAGGCCCATTAGCTCTCCAGTATACCCCAGTCACAGAAGCTTAATCAAGGAGGGATTGAAACGATGGGTGAGAAATTAACAGGAGAGTAACCCTTAGGAGTGTAGACTGGCATCAAAAAAAGAAGCTGAACAACTTCAGTGGTGGCAGAATTCCAAGGTCTCATAGACTGTCTCATTCCACTAGATTTCTTGTCTATACACGAGGGAAAGTGCCTGGGTACCATCAGTGATGTGCTGGAGCTGACTTCTACTATGGAGAGAACTGGTTATGTGTAGCTGTTCCCAAGTTCTCCTTCAATGATTCCAAGTTGGTAGCTTGAAATTGAACCACAGTGTAAGTATCTACACCATGGAAATTGGCAAATGCTCCATACAAGTCAGCTCCCACCCCCAACCCGACCAGAGCCAGCCATTACACAGTTACGAACACAACACTGGCGCCGTCTGGTCTCATCTTTCTCTGTTTTCACAAGGTTAGTGGCCACTGTTCCCTGAGGAAAGCCCGTGGACACATCCTTGGATCACTCACCTGGGCTCGGTTGGTGTACAGTACTTTCATGTCCTTCAGCTTCTCCAAACCCTCACTGTAGCACAGGATGGCTGTTTCATAATCACCTTTGACAAATGCTTCATTCCCCTTTTCTTTTAGGGCTGTGAGAATAGAAGTTATACGGGTGAGCTCTCCCCACACACTGGAAAATTCTTTCAGACTTCACTGTCCTGATTTTCCAACTCTACTTTGAAGGTCAGAGCTTCCATGCATCCAAAGGGGGTCTGTCACTTACTTCTCTCTGCAGATAATTCCAGGTCGGTTTCTGTCCTCTCAATCTACCCGAAGTCTTCTAAGCAGCTTCTCAGAACAAGTAAATGTTTCTGCCTCAAGGCTCAGAACACCCCAAACTTGCCACAAAGGGCAAGTCTACACATTCAAACGTCTCATAAAGAGATTCAAACGTCTCATAAAGAGATTCAAACAACTAATTTTCTAGCAAATACGGAATCGTTCAGATCTGCAGCACACATACCACTGAGTGGTATAAAATAAGTGCTGAAAGCATTCTTCTGTCATGTGTATCTTCCTCACCACACACACAACCCCAGTTCTTTCTTTTCCTTTATTTCCCCTCTCCCTTCTCCCAGCTTTGTTTGCTTGTTTCATTTTTCTTTTTCATTCCTTCATCTGTGCCTCAGGCTGGACAGTAGTACCTCACTCCCATCCCTCCCTACGTTCCAAGCATCACTTAGTGCAGCTAAATCCATCCATGTGCTTTAGAAAGGTCTGACTGTGGAGGCTGACTCACGGCTGTGTCTGACTCCCTGCTTGCTCCTGTGGGAACAAGAGACAGACTAGTTTCTGCCTGGCCACGTCCCACTGCCTCAGACCCATCATGAACCCACCCACTGGGAATCTTGATGTCCTCAGACATTAGCATAGAGACTTCCTTGCTCTTTCTAGCACAAATCACCCTGGCTATTGAAAAGTGAAAAGACTGACAATTACCATCTGCTAAGACTTTGTTTTCCCTTCTTCTTTTGGCACGTTCTTTTGCATCCTTCTCCACAGATGCCAAGAAGGCCTCTGACAACAGCGTAATTTCAAATATTAAAAAGAAAAATCCAAATACTATAATCAGTTCTTTAGCTCAAATTCAGAAAAAAGCTACTTTAGAGTTTTAGAGCCACACTTTTCATGCATTCACATGTAGGCACATGTACGCGTGCACGCACACACACACAGATTTGGAGACAACTAAAATGACATTTTCTTAATTTGACAGTAAATGGTAATCTGTGTGATGTATTATTATACATGGTGACTATGTCTGTGCTTCAAATTTGAATTATGCCTTTTAAAAGAGTTTTTCTTTGAAGACAGACTTTTTTGTTCCACTTAGCATAATGAGCTTCTGAGCTGAGCAACTGAGAAACTCTCTGGATCCCTTTAAGCAGCTAAGAGTAAATTGGATGAAACAGAATAACTGAATTCAGTTTCCAAAAAGACTGGCCAGGAGAAGGTAGGAAAAACCCTCTGAGTACTGTCCCCTCTGACTACTAGTAACAGAATTGAATGATCAGTAGGTTTTTGTTCATGGGTTGTTTGTAAGCCCAGAGGCTATAATTTAAGTGTCTGGAAGCTACAATCAATAAACACTGATCCTAAAGGAATAATACACATTGGAAAGAGAGATGCTGTCCTTACCTGCGTTTATTTCATCTGTATTCTGCAGGGCACAGGTTATCATAAAAACAAAGACACAAATTTCAAAAACCACTCCCTCATTTATACATATACAAAGCAAGAAGGCAGATCAATTACAAGCGGGGAGTAGGGTCATTTCCTTTAACCATCCATACTGAAAGGCTCAAAATTCAGGGGGCTTGCTGTAAATCAGGAGATCTAGTTATGGGCACAATTGTTATGGGGCTACATCTGCAGAAACAAGGGCGAGCAGGTCAAGGGACCGCCGCTGTGGCTGTATGAGCTGGAAATATGAATTAGTAGAATATATTACCTTAGCGGCTTAGAAATGGTCACAAGTTCAGTGGGTAGAGAGGCCAAATTAAAACAAACCCAAAGGGTTGTTTAAGGAGGGCCCAGAAAGATCGAGAAAAGAAATCAGAGTTTATACTTCCTTGTGGAAAATAAATGTAAGTGAATCTAAAAATCAAAAGGCTATTTCAGCCTCACCAGGCAGCTGAGATTAAACCACTACTTCCTCTGCTTTATGCAGACCTTCTCACTCTGTCTACTTAGATAACTCCACCATAGGGAAAGGGCACCTTTGTGTGAGCTTGTGGAGGACTGATCATGGTCTTGTTCACGGTGGTCCTGCACTCGTCCTCCTCTTGGTCTTCCTCTGTAAACTTCAGTCTCTTTTCTGTCTCGAGAACAGCTTTCTCTTGTACGACTGGGTCATCAGAATTCATCTCCTGAATTAAATTGGCTAGAGGAGAAATCAGGTGAATCATTCAAGCAAGGTCTTCAAAAAGAAAGACTCCATTCACTTAAAAGGTGGTGTAGAAAATTTCATGGGGAAGGACTTTTATTTTTCCAGCTTTACCGAGATATAATTGACACATGACATTGTGTAAGTTTAAGATGTACAACATGGTGATTTGATACACGTATACACTGAGAAATGATTCCCACACCAAGGTTAGTTAACACACCCATATCCTCATATAATTTCATTTTTTGTGTGTGGTGAGCACATTTAAGATCTACTTTCTCAGCAACTTTAAAGTGTATAGTACAGTACTGTTAACAATAGTCACCATGCTGTATATTAGATCCCCAGAACCTATTCACCTACTAGAGAATTTGTGTATATGTGTGTATTTAAACATCTTAAATGAATGGTTTTTACAAAATGTGCGTTCTTTTGCAACCTAGTTTTTTCTCCTAATATGCTTTAGAGATTTGTTCTTGATACTAATGGTTGCAGTTGATTTATTTTAATCACTATATATACGATAGGTAATCCATTCCCTTATTGATGGACATCCAGGTGTTTTAAAATTTTTTGCTAGTGAATAAATGACGAATCGAATATCTGTGTACATATTTCCCCATGCACACATGTGACATATTCCTCAGGTTACGGCTGTATCAAGGTTTATTCCTATAAGCTGTGACAAGAGTTCCCATGCCTCCACATCCTAGTTAACACTTGTTGTCAAACTTCTAAGTTGTTGCCACTATAATGCATTTATCTCCTCAATGTTTTCATTTGCATTTTCCTGAACATGACTGGGATCGGGCATCTTTTCATTGGTTTGTAGGCCATTTGGATTTCCTTTTATGTCAACTGCCTGCTCCTATCCTTGGCCGATTTTCTATTGGGTTGTTTGTCTTTTTCTTATGATTTCTGTATATATTCTGGACTGATATGTATTTGTGAACATCTCCTTGTGTATGGTTTGTCTTTTTATCTGTTTTTATGGAAGCTTTTGTTGAAGAAATTTTCTATGTGTTAAATGTACCAATATTTCCCGTTATGCTTTATGCCTTTTGTGTATATTAGGTTTACAAATATACTCTTATATGTCTTCTGTATGTTTTAACGTTCTGTTTTTCTCATTAGGGTATTTAATCCACCTGGAGCTTTTTTTTTTTTGCCGCACAGCCTGGCATGGGGGATCTTAATACCCAGACCAGGGATTGCAACCGTGCCCCCTGCAGTGGAAGTGCAGAGTCTTAACCACTGGACCACCAGGGAAGACCCCTGGAGCTGACTTTGCATAGGGCACGAGCACCATTTGTTGACGAGTCCCTGCCTTCCCACCGATGTGTTGTGCCATCCCTGTTACATGCGTGAACCTGCTCTAGGCTCTTTATTCCATTCTACTGGATGAAATCTTTTTCAGCACCAAACCTTCCATGCATAATTACTACAGCTTTATAATGAGTCTTGAACATCTGATAGGGAGATCCCACCTTCTTATTTTCCTGCAAAATTTTCTGGATTAATTCTTGGCCCTTTGCTCTTCTGTGTGAACTCTGGAATCAGCTTGTTGAACTCTAAACAAAACATTTTTGGGATTTTGATCTAAATTGTGTTGAATGTAGAGGATAATTTGAGAAGAAAAGATTTCCTTCCCAAATGTGTCTTCCCATCCATGATAAAATACGTCTCCACTTATTTAGATATTTTACGTCTTTCAATTAAAATTTTTATTCACTAAACTCTGAACTTTATTCTAATTTCATTAATATCTCTGTAATATCCTTTTTCCGCTCCAGGATACCATCTAGGATATCACATTACATTTAGTCATGTCTCCTTATAATTCTCTGAGCCATGACAATTTCTCAGACCTTCCTTGTTTTCCTTGACAGTTTTGAGAATTACTGGTCAGGTATTTTTTGTAGAATAGTTTTCAGTTTGGGTTTACCTGATGTTACTGTCACAGTCAGACTGAGGTTCTCAAGATTTTGGGAGGAAGACCATAGCACATATTAAGGGTACACGTTATCAATATGATTTATCATGCTGTTAACCTTGACCACCTAAGGAAGAGTTTGTCAGCTTTTTCTATCTTAAAGTTACCTTTTCCCCTCTTTTCCTGTGCTGTACTCTTTGGAAGCAAGTCAGTGAATGTATCTCACTTTCAGGGGCGGAGAGTTATGCTCTACCTTCTAGAGGCAGGAATATCTACATAAATTGTTTGAAATTCTTCTGTATGGGAGATTTGCCTTACATATTTATTTACTTATTTATCTATTCATCGTTTATTTATATCCATATAGACTCATGGATATTTATTTTATACTTTGGGCTATAATCCAATACTGTTTGCTTTCTTGCTCAAATTGTTCTAGTTTTGACCACTGGGAGCTCTTTCAATTAAATTTTATAACCTTCCCCATAAAGGTCTTGCATATATTTTGAGGGATTTATTTTGGTATTGTAAATGAAGTGTTGCTGGTATATAGGAAGTATATAAGAATGCAACTGAATTTTATACATTAATCTCGTATCCAAAAACCTTGCTCGATTTCCTTCTTTACTTTAATAATTTATTTATAGATTTTTTTGAATTTTTCTCTGTAGACTCTCTGCCCGAGTCCTCTTCTCTTTTTCTACACCTTTCCCAGGAATTCCTGTTCCCTCCTACGGCTCCAAATACCATGCAGATGCCACTGCCTCCTAAGTTGACCTCCCCAGCCACTCTCTCTCTCTCTTAGGCTCAGACTTACAAAGCCAACTGCCTTCTGAACATCTTCACTGGGATGCCTTACTCATCTGCCTATCCTCTTTCTCCCCAGACTGTTCCTCCTTCAAATGCCCCTATCTCAGCAGATGGTCCAACCATCCACTTGTCATTCAATCAAGACTCTCAGGCTCATCCTTAAGCCTTCGTTCTCCCTCCACCTTCACAGCCATCAACACTAAAGCCTGTCAAGTAAGCTCTGAATTATGTCTCCAATCTGTCTACTTGTGTCCATTCCAGCCACAGTCTCTTCTCCCTGGAGCACTGTAACAGCCTCCTAGCTGGCTCTCAGCACCTGTTTGCTTCTCCCCTCCAGTGTACCACTGCCAGAGTGACTTTTCTAAGGTGTAAATCTGACCATGTTTCTGCTCTGAGTAAACCCTCCAAAGGATTCCCATTGCTCTCAGGATAAACACGAATTCCTTACCGTGGCTTCCAAGGTCTTTCCTGATCTGGCCTTTCTGGACTCAGATGGGACCCTTCTCTCCTTGATCTATTCTCTCCAGCTATACTGAGCTTTTTAATCTTTCCGTTTCTCAAAAGTACCACACTTGCTCTTAACTTCCATCTTTCCTACGTACTTTCTCCCCATTTAGAATACTCCCCTACCCTCTCTCCAGTGGCCAACTCCTACTCAGACTTCAGATTTGTGCTTAAATCTCATCCTTTAGGGAAGCCTTTATTTGTGGGCTGAATTGTGCCCCTCTTCCCCAATTCATATGTTGGAGCCCTAATCCCTTCAGTGTGACTGTATTTGGAGACAGAGCTTTTAAAGAGGTCATGAAGGATAAATGAGGTCATAAGGGTGGGGCCCTAAACCAATTGGATTGATGTCCGTATAAGAGGAGGAAGAAACACCAGGGATGTGCACACACAGAAAAAAGACCATGTGAGGACACAGTAAGAAGGGGGTTGTCTGCAAGCCAGGGAGAGAGGGCTCAGGAGAAACTAAACCTAATACCTTGATCTTGGACTTCTGATCTCCAGGACTGTGACAAAAATTAATTTCTGTTGCCTAAGCCCCCCAGTCTGTGATATTTTGTTACAGCAGCCCATCAGACAACTCCCTAATCTGAGTTAGAGTCTCTTGCATTTTACCAATCTCTCTTTGTAGCATACATCACCCTTGAAATCACTTGTTTAATATCTGTTTTCCCCACCGGACTGTAGGTACCATGAAGGAAAGTAATTCTTATTCATTGTTACTGTATTCTCCAGGGTCTAGCAATGCTCAGTACACAGCAAGAGCCCAAGAAATGAATGTATAGAATCTATACACATGTGGCTATATAAATTTAAATTACTTATAAATGAAATAGAGAAATTCACTTCTTTAGTAGCACTAGCCACATTTCAAACCCTCGATAGCCACTTGTGGTCACTGGTTACCACAGTGGACAGTGCAGATTATAGAACATTTCTATCATCACAGAAAGCTCTATCAGACGGCACTGATATAAATGATATGGAAATGAACTTGGGGTACGAATGAATGTTAGCCAGGTAAAGAAAGACCGGGAGGCAGAGGGAAGGACAAAGGCAGCAGGCAGAGGAAGAAGGGTCAGGGGGTGTGTGGGGAACCGGAAGCAGTCTGTAGCTCAAGTGTGAGGTAGGGGGAGGTGAGAGGTAAGGCCTAGGTCACAGGAGGACTTAGGTCCTGATGAGAGCATGAAATTTATTGGGACTGCGGGGAGAATGCAAGCAGAGAAGTGGCTGGGTCAGATTTGCATTTTAGATACATTACCCTGTGGGGAGTGTAAGCCTGAAGGCCGGGGAAAAACAATCAGGGGGTTGTTGAAATCGTCTGGATAAGAGAACCAGAACAAAGGGAGGTTGCAGAGGTGGGAGCTGGAGGGAGAAGGCAAACCTGAGGGTTGATTAAATTAAGGGCTGAGAGGTGAGAGGAGGCCAATGTGACTTGTAAATCTGGGGACAGCAGTGCCACCAAGTGAGACTAGAATGAATGGGAGAGTAGGAGAAGAAGGTTTTATTTGGCACTGGGAGGGGACAGAGAAAGAGATGATCAACTAACCTTCGGACATATTAAGTTCATGGTGCTTGAGGGATACAATGGGTGTGACAGTTGGCATAGAGGCTGAGGCTCAAAAAAAGTGGCTGGTGGGCTTCCCTGGTGGCGCAGTGGTTGGGAGTCTGCCTGCCGATGCAGGGGACACGGGTTTGTGCCCTGGTCCGGGAGGATCCCACATGCCGCGGAGCGGCTGGGCCCGTGAGCCATGGCCGCTGAGCCTGCGAGTCCGGAGCCTGTGCTCCGCAGCGGGAGAGGCCACAGCAGTGGGAGGCCCACGTACCGCAAAAAAAAAAAAAAAGTGGCTGGTAGCAATTGAGATGTGGGGTCATCATAAGGGTGGTAGCTAAAACCACGTGCTTGGGCTCGATCACCTGAAGAGAAAGGCGAGCAGCGGGCCAGGCCAGAACAACATTTGGGGGATGGGCCAAGGAGAAGAAGCCCATGACAAACCCAAAGAACACCCTAAGGATGTACCATCTATGAAGTTGCCTGAACTATTTTTAAAACCATTTTATTCTTTGGACCCATACAGCCTGTGAGAAGCAGCAACTTCAATATATTTCTATTTGATATGTAAGGTTTGTTTCACTGCTGATATTCTTGTCTCTATCCTCAAACAAGCTCCCTGAAGTCTGAGCAGGGACTGAGTGCTTTGGAATCTCCTGTGTGTGATCTGTGTGGTCAGAGTATGTCCTTTGAGATTCCACCTGTCTAAGTTGAAGAAGGGTCTTCCTGCCTAGAGGAAGAGAGACAGGAGTATGACAACCAGCAGCCATCTATGTAATATGATGGACCCTGAGGGAAAGCCTTCTGACTTTGCCTCTGCAGCTCAAAACCAGGAACGGCTCTCCCCTAAAACAAGAGGGATTTCAGACCGATCAGTGGGGCTCCTGAGTGATCTTCTCCAAGGGAACAGTAGGCTCATTGGTGATGGGGAAATAGAAGCTCCTTTTGACCTGATTCTACACAGAAGGGGAGAAAATACAAGGAAGAGCTGTCAGCCTGAATTCAATCAGAATGTTAGCAGCTTCTCTGATACCAATTAACAGCCAAAAAATATTACCCCCAGGCTCCAATATTACTTGCTTCTCAATACCCCTTCTGTTTAATCTCAAGAACATTTTTTTCCTTAAGAGTCATAAACCTGTCAGGCAACCCATGAACTAACTTAGAGTAATCATCTCTCTTTAACAACTCCACCTCCCTAAAGTAAAATTTAATTAGTATATGATTTACTGGTACTTACTGATTTCATCTACATTTTTAAGAAATTTCTGCAAGTCTTCCTCTTGATAGTCAGCCATTGTGAGCCAGAATCCCTGAGGGAGGCAGCATAAATGATGAAAATTAATAATAATAAAACTCTAAACAGAATTTGTCAGGCTGATTAGCCTTCTAAAACTAAGAGCCAGGTAATTATTTTCAAGATGGATTTGTGTTTATAAAAGTCATGAATAACAAGCAGGGTGATCTATTACACTCTGACTGCTGTTAAGGCCAAGGGACCCTCATTATGTGCGGCGATATTTCTGGAAAGCTGCCAGCCTCCCTCAATGGGGAAAGTGCTCTGCAAAATGTCCCTACGAAGCCAACATCAGCTGCTGTGAGTCAGGGGCCCGGCTTGAAGGCGGCCAGGTGGAGAGCAGTTGACAGGCCACCAGAGATGAAGAAGGACACTAACGCTTGACTTCGATCATGACAGGCTGGCCCAGCCAGAAGCTTTGGACCTGGCTGTGTGACAGGTAACCAAAAATGGGACAATTTACATCTAAATGTCCAAACTATTTAAAATATAAGCCTCTGGCTTATTTCTGAGGAGTGAAGAGAAGCTACAAATTGCATGGAGGGATTCGAACTTGACAGCCCTGCACGCCAGCCTCTCTTCTCCTCTCCAAGTACTTTAGCTGGATCACCACTCTGTTGTTTTTGAGTGAAAGGCCTCATGCTACAGCCAGTGGTTCTCAAAGGTCCACCCACAGACCACAAGAATCATCCAAAAACTGGTTTAGCATAAGATTCTTCAGCCTTAGCCCAGAGCCCCTCAGTTAGTAAGCCTGAGAGAGTACCCTGGAATGTATAGTTTTAAACACCCTCCAGGTGATTCTGATTTACAGCTAGGTTTAATAACAGTGTAGCCAAATAAGGCACCTTTAACTGGAAATTTGAAATCTGCCAGGAACAAGCTGTGAGTTATTTGATCTCTCTGAGATTCCACCAGTTATAAGCTGTGCTACCTCAGCTAAAGACACAGCCTCTCTGACCCTCAGAGGCCTCATTCGTCCTATGGAAACTATAATACAAACAGAGGGCTGGGGCTTCCCTGGTGGTGCAGTGGTTGAGAATCTGCCTGCGAATGCAGGGGACGCGGGTTTGAGGCCTGGTCTGGGAGGATCCCACATGCCGCGGAGCAACTGGGCCCCTGAGCCACAATTACTGAGCCTGCCTGTCTGGAGCCTGTGCTCCGCAACAAGAGAGGCCGCGATAGTAAGAGGCCCGCACACCGCGATGAAGAGTGGCCCCCGCTTGCCACAACTGGAGAAAGCCCTCGCACAGAAACGAAGACCCAACACAGCCAAAAATAAATAAATAAATAAATTTAAAAAAACAGAGGGCTATCTGGGGATTAATTTAAAGCACCAGGTTGGCAATGAGTGGTTACTGCAAGACATCCTTATCTATAAAACAGGGCTGGGGACCTCTGGCTTAACTAAATGATCGCTAGGTTTCTTTCCAGCTCTTAACAATTCAGGCTCCCGTGGAACTGAGGCCTAGTCAAGTGAGTTGACTTGCCCAAGGTTAGGAGAGGCAGAAGGCAGGCTCAGAACTCCCGCGGGCAGGCGCCAAGCCCTCTGCTCCCAGGCCAGGGTCTAAGGGCGCGCCATGCCCAGGCAGCGAACCCACGACGGGACGAGAAGGCCAGGGCACGGTGATGCCCAAGGCATCCGACGGTATCCACTTTCACCGGGAAGGAGCCTGCGCCCCGCCTGGAGCCAGAAGACCCGCTCGCCCCAAATGCCCCCTCCCCGGCCGGCGCAGAGGGGCGGGGCCGGCGGCACCGTTGCCCGGGCAACCGCTCCAGAGCGTCCACCGGCTGAGTGCCCGCCGTGGAGGTCCCCGCGGCCCTCAGCTGATACCGTCCCATCCGCCAGGGCCCAAACCAGCGTCCTCTGCTTGGCTCTGACGGCCAGATCAGGACCAGCACCAGGGCAGACCCCGGGCCTCCCCGCTGAACTGACCTGAAGCGCCCAGAGCTGGACAGGAAATGGCGGTTGTGGGCGGGCGGTGACCGACCTAGGCTGAGGAGGGGCGGCGCCAAAGGGCCAGGGGCGGACTTAGCCCCGTGCTCTGACGTGCCCTGCGTTCTAGTTCCGGAGCGCGCAGCCAAGTTCAAGGCCGACCTGGGGCGTGGGAAGCCCGCTGGGGACCGGGGAAGCTGGGGGGAGCAAAAGAAGCACGAGTGACCTGCGCTGATCCCTAAATCAGCGCCAGGTTTTGGCTTCTTTGTTTTCTGGGGTTGGAGGGTGTGTCACTTGCATTAGCTTAATATCCCTGGCCCGGAAGAGGGAAGGTCTGCAGCGTACTTGGGAGAGGCAGGCTTGGGTGTGAATCCGATTTTACTTATTAGTGTACGCGAGACCTTCGGAGAGGAGAGTTATGTGATCTCTCTGATCTTCAGAGTTCTCCTTTATATAAAAAATGGAGAAATGGCACTTTCTCATAAGATTTACGGTTAAGGTTCCAGGCACCTAGTCAGTAGGGGTAAGTGATGGTTATTATCCAGGGAATCATAGCATTTAGAGCAGAATGAGACAATGGACACATAGAGAGAGAGAGAGAGAGAGAGAGAGAGAGAGAGATTGATTTATTGTAAGGAGTTGGCTCACATGATTATGGAGGCTGAGAAGTGCACCAGCTACAGTTGGCAAGCTGGAGACCCAAGGAGCCAATAGTGTGAGCTCTAGTCCAAGTCCAAGGGCCTGAGAACCAGGAGAGCTGATGATGGTGTAAGTTCCAGTCCAAGTCTGAGTGCAAAAGCAGGAGACCAATGTTCCTGCTACTACAGTCAGGCAGAGAGAAAGAATTCTATTCAGGCCTTCACCTGATTGGATGAGGCCCACCCACAGTGGGGAGAGAGATCTGCTTTACTCAGGCTATGGATTCAAATGTTAATCTCATCCAGACACACAGACAAACCCAGAATAATATTTAAACAAATATCTGAGCACGCTTTGGGCCAGTGATCCATAAAATTAACCATCACGAGTATCCAGTCACCAGACCCAAAGAGCTTGTCACGTAAGGGGATTAAAGGTCAATAAACAAATAATCACTTAAATTCTCACTGTGGTAAGTGCTCTAGGAAGTAAAGGGTGAAAAACAAAAGTAGCAAAGGGTACCATGAAAGCTGAGTCTCAAACCTTGGAGATATTCCCTGAGGACGTGACGTTTACACTGAGACTTAAGGGATGAGTGGGCATTGACCAGCTGGAGAGGGAAGTGGAAGCAGAGGGGGCAGGATGGGCAGTCAGGAAGGAGCCTGGCAAGGACAAGGAACCAACAGGAAGCCAAGCTCGGCTGCGGCTTAGAGAGCAAAAGTAAGTAGTGCAAGATGAAGCCAGGCCCAGATCACACAGGGCCTTTGAAAAGTTCTGGGTCTCTCTCCTAAGTGCCACAGGCAGCTTTTGAGGGGTTCTAGGAGAGGGGTGACATGCTCAGAGTTTTCTTTTTAGAAAATCATTTTGGCTGCAATGTGGAGAATGATCTGGAACGAGGCCAGGGGGACACTGGGAGAGAAGTTAGAGATTGTCAACAGCGTGTATTGGTAGAGGGAATAGAGAGGATTAGATGAATGTGCCATGTATTTTGGAGAGGGATTTGACAGCAGGGAAATATTAACAATGACATTAGGTTTCTGGCTTGAGCCAGAATAGGGCTCTCTGTTGGCTGAGATGGAGAATATTGGAGGAGAATCAGGTGTGGAGAAAGGTGATGAGTTCAGATTTATATTCAGTTCAAGATGCCTGTGAGTTATTCAAGTGGAGATGTTGAATATATTAATTGTTCTTTAATAGTTACTCTCCTCTTCTTCAGATTTTCCAAGTTTTAGCAAAGCACAGGCACCTAGAATAGACTGTATTTCCCAGCTTTCCTTACATATGACTATTTCCTTACACATGACAGTCCAATTAAATATAAGCAGAAGTGGTGGGTGCTACTTCTAGGACGTGTCCTAAAAAAGGATTCCCTTCTTCTTACCTTTATTTCTTGTTGGTTGGAATGTGGACACAATGGCTGGAGCTGGCTCAGCCATTTTGGACCATGAAGTAGAAGCAGTATATTGAGGATGGAAAGCCACAGGTAGAAGGAGCCTGTGTTCTAATGATCATGGAGTTACCATACTGGATTTTGGACTACCTAACTCCATATTTCTGTATAGGAAAGCTGTTTAACCCCAACAATACATCAGGTTCTGGGAATCTAAAGACTTCTATCTTGTTAGAATCACTGCTATGTTGGGTTTTCGGTCACTCCCAGCCAAACCTAATGTTAACTGATATGGAAGACGCTATTCATTTATTCAACTAACTGTTTTAAAGTTGATATCAATTTTTTTTGGTGATAAGTCCTTCCAAATAGTCCAAATGATGTTATGCATAAAAATAGAAATATTGATATTTTAAAATAAACATGTCAATTGTAAATAACTTTTGTCCGAAGGACTCTAAACACCAGAGAAATTTGACACTGAGATCACACAATTAAAAAGCACATGAATAATGTTTTATGTCAGAAGTTATTTTTGTAGTTAGAAGTTATTTTTTTCTCTTCAGTCATATTTCCATTTTATAGCCCCCCCACACACACACCCACACGCAGAATACTATCCTAATATAGGACGTTTTTATGCCTGAATGTCTTTCGCTGATCATCTCACCATAATTCTCTGCCACAGTAATATCAACAAATATTGTTGGAGTATTTGCTTTAACCAGATACCATACTATAAGTCAGGGGCCCAGCTCCAGTCCTCACACAGCCCAGTGAGGAAGATAGATGCATAAACAAATTCTTCTTTTTTCAATATTTTTTAATTGAAGTATAGTTGATTTACGATGTTGTGTTAATTTCTGCTGCACAGCAAAGTCATTCAGTTATACATATATACATTCTTTTTTTTTTTTTTTTTTTGTGGTACGCGGGCCTCTCACTGTTGTGGCCTCTCCCGTTGCGGAGCACAGGCTCCGGACGCACAGGCTCAGCGGCCATGGCTCACGGGCCCAGCCGCTCCTGGGATCTTCCCGGACCGGGGCACAAACCCGTGCCCCCCGCATCGGCAGGCGGACTCTCAACCACTGCGCCACCAGGGAAGCCCTCTATTCTTTTTTTTATATACTCTTTTCCATTATGGTTTATCCATTATGGTAGGATATTGAATGTAGTTCTCTGTGATATGCAGTAGGACCTTGTTGTTTACCCATAAACAAATTCTTATAGAACCATGTGATAAGGACAGTGACAGTCTAGCACTTAAGGAAGAAGTAAGGAGGAGGAAGTGGTGTCAGGCCAGTTCCCTTAGAAATAGGAATCGGCACAGTTAATGCGGAAGCTGGGAGTCTGCACAGTGCTCCAGGCACAGGCAACAGACTGAGCAGAAGTTTGGAGTCAGGAAACACTGTGCTGTGTGTGAGAAAATAGAAAAGCTCAAGGCGGGAGTGGTAAGAGATGAGCCCAGAGGTGTGGGCAGGGCACAGGGTATCAAGGAGGGAAGCCACAGGAAGAGTGTGAAGCAGGGAAGAGACAAGGGAAGAGCCCAGGAAGAGCCCAGGCTCAGGGCGAGATACCTGAGCAGGAGGGATACAAGAGAGGGGGCAGATGTGTGTGCTCTAAGGTCAGGCTGGAATAACAGGGCTCAGCAGGCACAGACACTCGTGGCATCTTCGAAGTCATTTCCATCCTAATGACTCCTACATGGATGTCTGTCAAGCCCACACTTCACTCTAAGCCCCATCCTGATAAATCCAACAGGATAACTAGACTATGAATCTCTTGAGAGAAGGGATTTTTTTTTTATCTTGTCTTAATTTCCCCAGCACCTGGCACTTAGTTGGAGCCTAAAAGAAAAGATGTGTTGTGGAAGTGAGTTAATCTCTTGCTCTGCATGGAGGAAGGTTCAAATCTAAGTTATTCTAGATGGAAAAGGATTACAAGTGCTTATAGTTTCCCTACCCCAGGCTTCCCGGAGAAGTCCATCCAGAGGACAAACATTGCGGCAGTCACAAAATATCTTAGGGTAAACTTCATACTTGACAGATTGATCACTTTAAAGTCAGAAGTCCTAGTAAGGCTGGGTGGTGATAAACTGTCCACGAAGATGCCAGTTTTCCTCCTTTCAGGCACACAGTAGGATCTCACCTCCCTGTGGCCAGGTGACTTGCTTTGTTCAGTGCCATGGTGGGAAGAAATGAAATGGGCAGAAGCCTTTAGGGGCCAGAGTGTGACTCACCATACATAGCCAGCCCTATCCCCTGCCCCGCAACTAGAGGGTGGAGTCTGTCTGGTGGAGTCTGTGTCTGCCTGAGTCCCTGAGTGAAAGGACATGGACCATAGCTGCCCATCTACCTTTGATGGACATGCAGCTCAAGTGAGCAATAGACTTTTCTTGTGATTGGCAAACATTTTGGACCTGCTTGTTACACAGCATAACATAGCCCTTCATGTCTAATAGGCCCACTCAGACCATTGTTCTTCACTTGCTACAATGACAAAATCTAGGGACCTTGTGCATGAACATACATAGATTATGATCACTGTGATTTATATTTTAAGTGTCAATGTCTGCCAATATTCAGGAAAACAGACTTAAAATGTGTGTGACACATTTCAAATATATTCCCCCTAGAGAACCTGCTATTTTCATCCTACCTAAATCCCTCGCGTGGTACTTAAATTTTACTTTTTCTTTATGTCCTCAGTAAAAAGTTGGAGAACATTTAGTCACTTTCCACTGTGTAATAAACCTGGACTTGGAGATCATTTAAGCTGGTTCTCCTCTCTTTTACTCTGCTCTCCTTTTGTGTAAATAATTCTAGCTGTTTGCCTTTTCTCATCAATCATAATTTATAAACTTAGGAGAAATAAGGAAGAAAAAAAATTCTTTTCCTGAGGACAAATGCGTGAGGAATAAAAGGAATTGTACATTTGCCCACTGGATAGAAAAGTTGCAGACAAGGTCAGCCTGGAGCCAGGAACCAGACAGACCACAAAGATGTCTGTTGGGCAACC